TTTTTGCAAAATTTACTGGCCCACCCCCTTCAACATGCATTTTAACTTTCGCCCGTTTTTTCGCATAACTTTCGCGGAACTTTCGCGAAAATATCCCTATTCACAGACCCCGGCCATCAACAGGAGGTACACTGAAGGAAAAACGAAGACCAGGGGCCTTGGTATTTGGCTCTCGCAAAACCTCACTTTTGGAAATTTAGTTACTGCTACTCGCATTCTTTAGTGCCCTTTTCCTGCCGGACCCCAGGCAGCAATACGTAGCAGCCCTTTAATTTAATAATTATAATATCCAATTTTCGCGATTTTTTTACGAAATAAAATTTTATTTTCACAAATTAGAAAAAAAACTTTCGCGAAAATTTCCAACATAACACGCACGGCTTTCGCAATTAAAATTCCTTACAAAGACCTTTAGATCGATCACCTTATATATATTATTATATATTATTATTAATAATTTTTATTCTCTTCATTATTATTATTCCCAATAATATAATATTATTACCCCTCCATATCATCATAATTATCGCCCCATATCGTACCCATCACCACCATCACCACCATCACCATCACCACTCACCACGATCGCCACCACCACCACCATCACCACCATCACCACCAACAACACCAACAACACCAACAACACCAACAACACCAACAACACTACACCAGCGCACCATCACAACTGTCGCAGCCATCACCACCATCACCACCATCACCATCATCACCACCCTCACCACCAACACCAACAACACTACACCACCGCACCATCACAACTGTCGCAACCATCACCACCATCACCACCATCAACACCATCACCACCATCACCATCATCACCACCATCACCACCAACACCAACAACACTTCACCACCGCACCATCACAACTGTCGCAACCATCACCACCATCACCACCATCACCACCATCACCATCATCACCATCATCACCACCATCACCACCAACACCAAAAACACTACACCACCGCACCATCACAACTGTCGCAACCATCACCACCATCACCACCATCACCACCATCACCATCATCACCACCCTCACCACCAACACCAACAACACTACACCACCGCACCATCACAACTGTCGCAACCATCACCACCATCACCACCATCACCACCATCACCACAGTACTACACCACCGTCACCACACTACTACACCACAGCATCATCACAACCGTCACAACCACTACAACTTCGCGACCATCACAACCACTACATCACCATCAAGACCACTGCCGCCATTAACACCATCACCGGACCATCATGACCATCGCAACACCGCCACCACCACGACCTCCACCATCAAGACCCCTGCGCATGGTCCGCCGTGCGTTCGACAACGTGGCAGGTAATAAGAATCAATCAAATGTCTTTTTGTTCCAGAAAAATCAAAATTCAAAATGACCTCGAATAAAATAGAATCAAAATTCTTTCAAATTCCTGTTATTTTTTCATTGAAAAATCGAGAATAGTCAGATCATTTTTTATATTTTTTTAAAAAATAAACAAATTAGATAATTAAAATTTTAAATGGTTAAATATAAATTACAATAATTCAATATATTTTAGTATTAGCTAAATCTAAAAATATGTAATTTCCAAATCACATAATTTTCACGGCATTTGTGCGACCACATACTTACCCTTAGCGGACGCTAAGAATATCATGCATTTTGGCTAAATTGTCGCATATAAATGCCTGCAAATTAATATCATGTGTGTATATATATATATATGTGTGTGTGATGGTCAAAATTCAAGTCATGGGGTGAGGTCATGGCATCGCTTCACAAAGCCCCCTATCGCTACTGACAGTCCCAGCGCCCTTTTCACCAACTAGGCAGAATTGCTGCTAGAAGAGGAGGATCCAGATGAGGAATCGGATTCTTATTCCTTTTACACTGGTATCTCCAGGGAAATTCACATTTTTACGTGATCACCAAGGCTGACGTCGACAGCTTCAGCTAGACACCAGCCGGACTCACTGCAGGTCATCTGACCTCGGAGGCTGCCCTTGGCTTGTCTTGGCTTGTCTTGCCTGTGTTGCCTTATTTCCGGCGCCTTTTTTCCTTCACCCCACCTCCTTTGCAACCTAATACCACGCCAAAATGAATCGGCAAAACCCTGACCAAATGAACCCTTTAAGAACTAACCCATTAAAACTTGAGGGTATCCTTGTTCATACTTCCCATATTTTTCCACCTATAGCACGAGTTGTAAAGTTTCAAGTGACCATCTGGGGTATTCCCTAATTTCATGGATTTCAGGTATCGCTCTGGGTATCGAGGGGTATCGCTTCGGGCATCGCTACGGGGACCAGAAAATGTGTGATCTCAGGGGTATTCACCCCGCTTCGCGTGGGGTGGCCGCCCACACCGCAGGTTTATTTCGGTCCGTGAGAGGGGCTAAGGGTGGTTTCCCCCCGTGGGGGCTCCCCAAGCTAAGAATTTTCACTTTCCCCCTCCGTGGGGGCTCCCCAAGCTAGGGAATTTTCACTTTTCCCCCCCGTGGGGGCTCCCCAAGCTAGGGAATTTTCACTTTTCCCCCCCGTGGGGGTTCCCCAAGCTAGGGAATTTTCACTTTTCCCCCCCGTGGGGGCTCCCCAAGCTAGGGAATGTTCACTTTTCCCCCCCGTGGGGGCTCCCCAAGCTAGGGAATTTTCACTTTTCCCCCCCGTGGGGGCTTCCCAAGCTAGGGAATTTTCACTTTTCCCCGCCGTGACAGCTTCCCAAGCTATGGAATTTTCACTTTTCCCTCCCTTGGAGGCTCTCCAAGCTGCGGAATTTCAAATAGCTAGACAACGACGCCTAGATAGTCCCCCAAATCCCGCGTTCTTTGCATGTGTTTCCATGTTTTTGCAATGGTTTCCTTCAAACCACGGTACTTTACACTTTTGTCGCCATAAAACCGGTCGAAAACAGCATGTTCGACAATGCTTCCAATTCCCTTATCTCCCCAACCGTTGAAAATACCGCTATTTACAGTGTTTTCTTCAATTTTTCCATGTTCCAATGCCGGTAGCCAACTCCAACATATATATATATATATATAATCCTTCCAAAACATTGTTTTTGACAGTGTTTTTCCAATGTTTCCAGTCAAACAAACGGTAATTTACACGTTTTTTGCCATAAAGGCAGTAAATCCTTCCAAAACATTGCTTTTGACAGTGTTTTTGTAATGTTTCCAGTCAAGCATACGGTAATTTACACGTTTTTTGCTATAACGTCAGTCCAAAACACTTGTTTTTGCAGTGTTTTCAATGCTCTGGCATCCAAAAACCTTGCAAAATCTTGCTATGTACAATGTTTTTTCATTTTTGGCCGTTTTTCCATTGCCGGAAAGCTACCAAAATGACCCAAAATTCCATTTCAATACCCTCTTGCGCTCAGACACCCAAAAATCCCCGAAAAATGTCGAAAACCCCCCCGTATTCTGGTCTCGGTGCGAAACCGTTTTTGGGCCCCCCCCCCCCAGCTAAAGCTGATATAGCGACTGCTATATTAACAAATGTCATTGAGCATTTAGTGTTGCTGTTGCCCCCCAATAAGCACGCCTTCACCGCCAAAGCGGTGTGGGCGGATTTTCAAGTGACACGAAATTCTGACAAGCTCCATGTTGCAATTCTACTCCTGGACAGTGGCTTTGGAGAAGCGTCCGTGACCGCACAAGGATGCTTTTTTAACATATCTCAGCACGGTCACTATCTGAATCAATATCATCACCATCACCATCATCATCAGCATCATCACCATCATCAAGCTTATGATGCGTTATGAATTAGTTTCTTGCATACCTTATAGATCAACATACCCCAATATATCAACATTGTTTAATGTAACTATCTCATATATACTTGACGACAGGCCATCGTGCAACTACCCAGGAAGACCAGCCCACAGCGACTGCTCCAGTGTCGCACTCTGACATCAAAAGATTGGAAAGTCATGCGCCCAACAGGAAGGTTCAATCATAAACAAAGTCTAAAAAGAAGTATCGCTACACAAGGCCCCCTATCGCTACACACAGTACATTACATTTTTTGAGTAGTGATGGCGGATCGTAATTGAAGCCTTTCATAGCGTCTTTTAATCATTGCACATATATACACAGACATATATTTATTCCATATAAATATTAGATCATATTCAATATTTAAAATAAATATTATATAAATTTATAATAATAAACTATGTGTGTATATATATATATATTATTGATATTATTATTAATTATTGTTGTTATTATTATTATATATGTATTATGATTATTCTTATTATTATTGATCATTATTTATATAATCATTAATAAAACCAAATAGATTATATATATATATATACATACATATTTTATCGGATCATAATATGGATATTATTGATTAAATATTACCTCAGATTTGCACCAACATATTGAAATCGATCATTTTTTGATCTTACGAATCGCTGTCCGAATCAGAGGAATCACTTTCGCTCTTCTCCTTCTTGGCAGTCTTTTTCACTTCCTCCTTGACTTTCAGATTTTCAGCCTTCCTCTTCTTCTCTTCTTTCTTGACTTTTTTGGCTTCCTTCTTCAGCTTCTTTGCCTCCTTCTTCATGCGTTTCAGCTCCTTTTTGTCCTTCTTCAACTTCTTGAGCCGTTTGCGCTCCTTGTCTACCTCTTTCATATCTTGCAAGTTTTCTTCAAAGGACCTAGCCCATGCCTCATCCTCATCTTCTGGTGCCTCTTTGGCCTTCTTGTCCTCCCAATAGTTCTTGCGTGCTTCCATCGCTGCTACGATCTTCTTTTGGCTTTCTAGGACGTTGTAAACTTGATATCCTTGACCCTCAGCACCGGAAGCTTTGTACTCCAATAGCTTTGGATCACCATTCTCATCCAAGTCGTTCTCATCAAACTGCTTGGGAGCCTTGAATTTATCCACGTGGTCCACTCGTATGGTCCGTTTCAACAGCTGGAAACCATTCATGTTGTCTACAGCAAGCACGGTGCTTCGTTGGTCATCATAGCAAATGAATGCAAAGCCCTTGGACTTTCCAGTCGTGTAGTCTCTGACCAAATGACAATCAACGATTTCCCCAAACTGGGAGAAGACAATGACCACATCACCTTCAGTGAGGCCTTCGTGAAGGCCACCGATGTAAATGTACGCGGAATCCTTGTACTGATGATGCCAAGATCGAGATCCTTCAAGTCCCTCTTTCAGCTCCTTCTTGGCAATGGCACGCTGTGCTGTGATATTGTACATGGCTACTGCATGGAGGGCCGAGCTGAAGCGGAATTGTCTTGGAGGTGTCTCAAATTGTCTCAATGATTTTCTTAATCCTTCAAGATGAATTGTGTCGTCTACCTGGTTCAGGTTGTGTTCTTGCGCAGTCAGTTCTGATACTGTATGTTTAGGTAAACTATGAAACTGTGTTCATATCTATCTTGCTGCCAGTGGAGCCAAACATTGACCAAAGATTCATTCGACCGAGCACAACTTTCGCCACAACCTACTTGAATGCACAGCTCTGCAGTTCAATTGGAGCCAAGGAATAGAGACAGAGAGAGAGATTCCATGTGGAGACCAGGCAAAAGCGACCAAATCCTGCAGTCTTGGGACCTGCGTAATTTTTTCAATTGTTGACTATGAAGATCTCTAGGATCTTTTTCCTCTTTTATCACAGTACTTCCCGCAACTCCAAGTCTTGCATCATAGTTAACAAAAGCAAAAGCGACGAAATCCGCATTGTTTTTCTCTCAACTCCGGAATTGCAACTCCAGATTCGGTGAGACCTCGCCGCCCTTTTCAAGGGTGGCCGCTGAGGGTGGGCACGATTCGCAGCCACCAGAACTTCAAGGGGGCTTCGACTTGCGAAACAATTTGACATCGCCATGTTGAGCGAACCATCCTCTTGTGTAAATGGGAAACATATGGGAAACAATGCATGACATGATCAGAGTGACAAGTAGCAGCCGCCTCGCTATCATTTGCTTTGATCACACCAGGGCACTTGGCTACCTGGCTGCAAAGGCGCAGCAGTGTGCAGCACACGCCAGAAAACAACGTGTTGAGAAAACAGTGGGAAGTGTTGAGAGCATGTTGAAAGAATGTTCTCTCCATCTTTATCATCCGGCAAACCTACATCAACCATTTTCGAGTTGTTGAAGTGTCATATTTGTTTCCTTTCGGCGTTCTGGAAAAAAAAAAGCAGCATCCCCTAGTCTCACACGCAAAACAATTGTCGCTATAAAACTTGCAATGGCGAGGCTTCTTTCCAATCGGAGGGGAATATCAATGATCCCAAATCAATGGACAAGTAAATCTCTAGCAGGGTCGAAACCGTTGAAATCCTGGTGATTCTAACACCAAAAATGGATGATCACATAGGTATTGACCCATCCCCATATCTCATTTTTTGGATACAGTAAAATACCAACGTTTATGGATAGCACACTAGTTAGATAGAATAACAATACCAAAGATGGTCCTTTTTATGATGTCCTTTAGGTATTTGCACACCAACTGCTTGGGATTTCTTCCACCAATCCAGTTCTCATCGAGTCGCGCCTTTATACACCAAGCAGCTGTCGAACGAGGACTGTTGACCGCCTCCTGCAGTATGAACAAGTTTTGCCTCCATCTGAGTGCCCAAAATCTTCCCTGATTTGCCCATCTCCTCGACCAGTCATCCATAGTTCTCTCCCAGCTTGGGGCTCGGGAGGAACTCGACCCCCGGCACCAAAACGTCCATTGGACCTGGCTGCGATGTGCTGAGAAAGTAGGAATCTCACATGCCACATGAAACGTGTTGGCTTATAAATCCATGTAAACCCATAGAAACCCACTATAACTAGGTTCACTATGGTTTATGGAAGATATATCCATTGTCAGAGGTTTATGTATAGCCCCTTTACCCCCCATATTCGGGCAAGCCATGGAGGTTTAACCCAAGAAGTCTTGGATAATTGGGGCTGGTCATGCCACTTTGAGATGAAATCCAGGGCATACTGAAAGTCGCTGAAAGAGGGACATGTTTCAATCATGGTCGGTACCCTCTGGTAATTTAACGTAGCTATGGAAAATCACCATTTTTAATGGGAAAATCCACTATAAATGGCCATTTTCAATAGCTATGTTAAATTACCAGAGGGTATCTCAAATCGTGACCCATACTGCAAATATTTTTTCGAAGCACGGAAATTCTGAGGATTTGGACCAGTCTTGACAGCTGTTTGGCAGCCAAACTTTGTTGCACTTCCCTCTGCATCACTGGGGTCTAAAAAAAAAACAGACCTGAAGAAACTACCAATTTTTTTCCCCTCGGATGTTTTAAAACCGCATTTTTCCCAGAGGAAAAAAACCATACGATTTCTGGATTCCTCACCGTGCAGCCAAACCCACTGCACCACTTTGCCAAGGAACGTCTGATACCTTGGCATGCGCCAGAAAAGCTCTTTTTTTTGCTGAATTTGGTGAGAGATTACCTACAACAACCTTGCTAAGCACACACTGAGGCTTCATGGATGCTCTGAATCACCAGCTCAACTTATTCAACATCCTTACTTTTTGACCGAGTATGATAAACTTACTGAAGGAAATGGACTACACGTTGATGATCATCTCACTGTTTGTATTCCTACAGTTCCACATAGCCATTCATTCACGATGGTCATGAAACCCCTGAATTAGAAGCGAACCAATCATCTTGTAAGAGAAAGATTAAGTACATGGACACCAGCAAAAAACACAAAACACGCACAATGTGTTGAATTTGAAACAAAGGACATGGCTGAATGCACTTAAGAGATTCCCAAAACCAAGTATGATTTACATCCATACATCCATATATTTATACATACAAACAAATGTAAATAGTTATTAATCATATTAAAAATATTTTCACAATTCACTCATCTTATCTGACCTATCCCTTTAAAAATGGCAACATCCACTTCAGCCTGGCTTCATCAAGTTGGGAGTCCGCAGCTGGCGGTAGTAGCCCGACGGCGGCGCCGAGAGCACGGAGGAAGCAATCGAAGACCCGGCCCGAGAAGCCACACTCCTGGCATCGCGGTTGGAGATGACATAACTGCAATGCCATCATGATCATTCTATATACATATATTGTGGATATATGTGGATATAAATATACAATAAATATGTATAATATATATATATGTATATCGTGGATTATTATTATAGATATTATACATATATTTATATATACCACATTGGATATGGCTGTTATGTATATATATATATCATTATCATTATAAGTGTGCGGATCCAGTATAAGTTATATTTGTGTATATATATATGTTGTAATGGAACCAAGATAACTGTGTACTATGTAAACTATACTGTAGGACAATATAGCTACATCAAAAGTACTAGTACCACTATTGAACTTATCACTATTCTCATCAACAGAAAATTACTGTTGTTAATTGGTATAATCAGTGTCATCGTTCTGAAAAATCGGGTATTATTGGTTGTATTATTATGTTTATAGTTGCTACTAGTATTGATTGTTGGTTATCTCCAGTGATTGTAAATTATTATTGATTATCATTTATTAATTATTACTGCTATTATATATATATATACATACCAGTATTACTTTCTATGTGTGTGGGTGTGTGATAATTTTAAAAAATGATTACAGACTATGTGCATTAGGTATGTGTATGTACACATGTATTGATATTTGTGTGTGTGTACGCACTGATAGTCGTCACGAGGGGAACCGCGGTAGCTGATGTATCTATATATATCATATTATCATATATACATTGGATGCTCACTGACTGATGACAACTATGTAAGATCGATGATGATTGACATGTAGGCAATAGATGCCCTTACTCATAAGCAGGGCAACAGGGGTCAGCTCTCTTAAGACAAGGCATATCCTCCCTCTTTTGGGAGACATGAATCAGATGGTCGGATGGGTCTAGATCTTAAGCTCCCACAAACCACAAGTTGTTGAACATGTGTACACCGTTCTGCATCGTTCTGCACCATCAAAAATTTGAATGTCCTTTCACACATCCACGTGCCTCCTGCCCTCAGACTGTCGGCTAGCATCTGACTGCCTGAGCGCAATCTGTTCATCTAAAAATATGGTGTCCCCTAAATCATCATATATCCTCAATTCATTATCATTATCTATGTATATATATATATATTATATATACATATATCCGGATTATCTCATGCCTTATTATCCATATATCATCGTATATCATCATATATTCATGTTCCATATATCATATATATCATATATATCTATGATTTCTATGACAATTGCCCTTTTTGGGTGCCCAAATCCCCCCCATTTTCAGTTGCCTGGAGCGGATGGACTCACCACTCGGCGGCCGGAGCGTTCGCGCGTAGGGGTCGTCGGGATGAGGGATCTCCCGATTGGGAAACCTCTCAGGTGCTGCTGTCGGTGGATTTTTGACAGTTCCGATGTCCTTTTGTTTGGGGAAAAAACGTCAGATACCAAGATGGAAATCGCCTTTGAAATAAGAACTTGATCGTAAAACGACCATGGCACTAAAAAAACTTAGGCAAGCTTAAGCACTTGAATCATCTTGCATTGACTGTTTAGCCCAGAGTACAGCAGAAATGTTACTGGCCACTGTGGGAAGCTGCCGCAAAAGATCCGTCATTTTTCTGCAGCACATTCCCGCCTTTTGAGTAGCTCAGGATGAGGCTTCTTTGTCCCAGCTAAAACTCCCTGGCAGCCCGGGCTGTGCCGCGTGTTCAAACAAACAACTAGGATTCCCATGCACACCTCAAACTGGGCCTTTAAATCCCTATTTTGATGGGTTAAAATCACCAATTTGACACAGAAATCAATGGTTTCGGGGGAAAGACCCTCCTGTTCATGCATTTCTCCACAAATCTACTGTTTTCGTCAAAAGCATTCAGCATCATCCAACAAAAAAACAGGGCGAGTAACGCATTCTACTTTGGGGTCATTCTGCAAACCGGGATGAACCTATCTGTATAGAGTTGCATTCACACACTGCTCTCAGCAACTGGCATCCCATCATAGCTGACCCCCACTTCAAGTCCTTGTCAAAGATACTTTTGATCATCTGTCGCTCAAAACCTCGATTGATGATGCGACGAAAAAGCCATTTACAGTGGCAGGTGTTGTTCTACATGCCTTGTTGCAAGTCTCAATGGCCATGAAGACGCTGTAGCAATCAATGGTCAATTATTCAACCGCAGAATCTTCTTCTTTTCGGTCTAGTTGATGGCTTGGTGTTGTGCAGCCGTCGTCTGGCGATTTATTTCAAAAGAATGTTTCCAGCAATCCGCTTGTCAAACAGAATCAATGCATTTCACTCCAAAAGAGGAATATAAATCAATATAATTTGATATAATTCTCAAAAATGAGTCACAAGCTGCCATCAATCGCAAGTTGCATCCCTCTTTTCCGGGGATGCCAAGGGGCGAGGGAAGTCGTTGGCTGCTGCTGCATACGCTGCTTCAAAGGCTGAGAGGCCAGCCACCGGCCTCAAGGAATGATCTCCGGTGAAACCACTGGGCATCACTGGAGGCACAAAAGGCACCAACATCGATAGCACATATGGGGATGGGTCAATACCTATTAATACCATTTTTAGTGGGATGAACATCCATAAATCCCAGCTATTTTGATGTTCACCAGGGGTACAAGGTTTTGACACACTGCCATATCAGCAACTTATGGTGGTCTTATCCAACAATAAGCAAAAAATGAAGACAAATGGTGATTTCAAAGAGGGAAAAATGGAAGATTCACTGACAAGAACGGGGAGTTTCACCCACAGCCATTTTGAGCGATACTGTAAATTGCATCAGGGACATGGTGTCATTGGTATCTCCAAATAGGGGATACATATCAAGACCAGGATGGTCTTGCAGAACCAAGCGCTCAGATTTTGGTGGGTTGCTAGGGTCCCTGATGGTTGGAAGCAGTTAAAGGTCCACATCGATTACAAAAAAACATATCAGTCTGTATCTCAAATCATACCCCCCTCGTTATCAGGGTCTCGGTCGCCACTGTCTACTCCAAAGAAAGCCTCTGGTTTTCACGCCCGTTCAGTTCAGGCCTTCAATTGTAATTCGTTCCATGTCAGGTGTGTAGATTTACATCCAAAAATGGTTACCATTTTAGGGAGGTTTCCTAAAATTGGGGTGCTCCCAAATCATCCATGTTTATTCGGATGTTCCATTATAAACCATGACTTTTTGGGGCACACTCCAGTAGGAAACCTCCAGTGAAAACACCATGACACCGAGCTCTTGCCGAGGCGCTGCGTTTCAGCCGCACTTCGTCGAGCACTGTCATGATAGCCAACTCCATAGGACCTTGGACGTACAGGGGACCTTCATCCCATTTTCAGGTATGGAAAAGGCAAAATATGTGATGCAACCGGACTAAAATTGGATGGCTTTGTTTGGGATTGGTATGGCCCATGTGGTACGACATTCTTTGGAAGGATGCTTTTGAAAACCCTTTGGTATTCTAAACTTGTTGGAACGCCATAAACACATTGATTTATGGAGATTTTGCTATCAAGCATGGTTGGAGCTATGTTTGTTTTCAGCAGGAACAGGGGTATGGTTTTGTGCCACTCGATTCTCCTTTAAGTGGATTGGTGTTGTTATTGACCCTTAAAAATAGCCAATATTGGTTCTCATATCATCATTGGGGAACAGACCTTCCACCCACATCCATTCCTTACGTGGATGCACATGATTTTGAATCATGGCCCCTTGAAACTGTGAGATTGTGAGATACTCTTAAACAAATATGGCAACTGGACATCCCCAGTCTTTAAATCGGAAATTTCTCGATATTTCTGAGGGGAGTTCCCATTGCCGAAAGATTAACAAGGTAGACTACCATATGGTCTCCCGTCAGGCATCGGATGGCACCGAATACGGTATTTGTTTGGGTATATCATTGAGAACATGATCAACAATGAAAAATAGGGTCATACCACTGTACTGGGTCTACAATTATTGAGGTATACAATTGGATATTTGAAAAGATGTTAGTATATCTATGGATCGATCAGCGAGGATGCTTGAGATGTAGTGTTGTAGTCATGGCGACACGTTTTCAGCATACAGCTTTTCTCATGCCTGGACCAAGTAAACTGAATCCAAATGACCAGCCAACAGTTGTCCACCAAATGCCAGCCAAACCTTTTTTATAGGGGCCGGCAAGAGTTCCTCTACCATTGGTCAAATCTTTGACCTAACCATACCTAACCAATCGTTGTGGATCATCATATACCCAGTACAGGGAAACGACAATGTCACGCCTAAGTCATGCCTAACGTGTTTTTGAATGGCATTTACCATTGTAAACGCTGTATCCAATAAGTCATGCCTAAGTCATGCCTAAATGTTTTTCTGCATGGAACGCTGTCCTCAATAAAAGTGTAAACATGCATTTCAGACATTAAACAAACATAAAACACAATGGAACGCGACTGGTGAAAATATTGCTTTTCTACCCTCTTATAATGTCATTCTCGTGTGCAACCTGCATGTCAACGCTGGGATTCTGCATCATCATTTTGTACTACAAAGCTTGCACAAAGTCCTTCCCTGTACTACTTTTTGCTACAAAGCTTGCACAAAGCCCTTCCCTGTACTACTTTGTGCTACAAAGCTTGCGCAAAGTCCTTCCCAGTACTACTTTGTACTACTAAGTTTGCACAAACTACTTCCCAGTACTACTTTGTACTACAAAGCTTGCACAAAGCACTTCCCAGTACTACTTTGTACTACAAAGTTTGCACAAACTACTTCCCAGCACTACTTTGTACTACAAAGCTTGCACAAAGCACGTTCCAGTACTACTTTGTACTACTATACTTTGTACTACAAAGCTTGCACAAAACCCTTCCCAGTACAATTTTTGTACTACAAAGCTTGCACAAACTACTTCCCAGTACCACTTTGTGCTACAAACTGACATGACAACCTGCTTGGAAACCTTCGAAAAGGAGAGGTTTTGCAGCTTCCCCCATAGACACGGCGACGCCACAGGAAAACCAGAGACTGGAGACGAGACACGTGGGCGCAGCAAAACGAGCATTTCGTGCGAGACTTCCTCCAATTTTGACACTTTCGACACGTTATCAAACAGGTTGGCATGTGACAAAGTGCCACGCCTGCCACGCAAAACGACATGACAACCTGCTTGGAAACCTTCGAAAAGGAGAGGTTTTGCAGCTTCCCCCATAGACACGGAATTAACGCCGCGACGACGACGCGACGCCGACCCGACGACGCGACGCCGACCCCAGACCCCCAGACTATAAACGGGAACATTTCGCTACGCATTCGGGAAAAACAAGATAATCTGGGATGAACATCCAAAATCATCAAATCACCAGCTCAACGCCATCTTACCTATAACTAATCAACATACCTACAACCTGGAATTCTGCATGCTAATAGTGATCAGCTACGTGATCTCATAAGAAGACGGGTTACATATCCAAACTCCAGAGTTCCTATGCGTTCTTGCTAAAGGCACGACTTTTGCGAAACACACTTCCCCAAGGCACAACGATTTTTTCCTAAAACAGGTACGACTTTGTCAGATGCCTGTATATACCCCAGCCGCCGGCCCGTGGTCAAAGGTGCTGGTTGGCTGTGCCCCATTCGGGCAAGGATTCCATGCTATGGCCGGACCCTGGCTGCCTAATTTTTTTTGAACTGGCGCGGCAACGCGGCAACGTGGAATGCACACTGAAACATTGGAATGAGTACCAAGATCCAATAAGTCCAATGAGAGTCCACCAGAGAAAGCACGAAAGTTTTTTGAGTGTGCCAATACTCCCAGTTGTTAATGTGTAGTCTACATGAATTGGACGTATATATAGGCTGCATGCAAAATATAGAGATGTCCCAGACAAAATGGTTCCAGAACAGTTTTTTGGGAGCAGCCAGTGTTGATCTATCCCCAAATGTCAAACTGGACACCACCGGCCGCTTACGAGTCCATCGTAGCTCCCTTCTTGCGGCGAATCATTCGATGCGAATATCGTCTCTCCCGGCGTCCCTAGATTTGTCCGAGTCCCTTCCAATGCCACAGTGGTGGTCTATGCCAAGGGGCGATCCACCACTTGGGTTTTCTAGGTAAGTGTGTGATATCACTTGTTATGAGATTATCCTATGTTTATCAGTATCATGATCATATATCCAAGTAGATCCCAATATGTCCCAATCCTGCTTCTCCCATGACTTTAGTAAGGCTCAATATATAGCTAAGAAAGGAATTGGACACCAAATGACACCAGTTCCTCCAACGTCTTGACGGAGTTGCAAACACTGGACAACTCGCCTTGAAAGGTGGAAATGGGAACAACTACGGTAAATTGGCATTGCTACAGAGGCCGCAACACACTGGGGATCAGCTGATCCATGCAAGAGTAGACCGATACTTTTGTCTCAAACGAAAGCTAGACCCCGTGTGTCGCCATTTGAACCATGAAGAACGATGCCCTCATGGCTTGCCTGAATGGCGCTTTCAGCGGAGATTGCATCAAGTTCTGCCTTGCAAAACTTCGTGCTACGGCTGGCTGTTCGGATTTTTTTTCGAATGATTTCAGAGAACAAACACGAAGAAAAATAGTCAAAAGGATCTCTGCCGAAAAGGGCTGCAAGGTCCAAAACATTCGAAAACTATTCTCCAATGTTTCACGACGTCATCAAAATCAAGAGGGTTTTTAATGTTGGCAGGCTGACTACTCAAATGAAAGGGGGGCAAATCATGAGAAGTGTGGAAAGCAACCCTGCTTGGCGCTTACGACTCGTCTATGATCATCGAAGATTCAGATACCCGGATGCAAGTGATTTGGATCAACTGAATCTATCTGCTCTAATGTGGTAAACCCAATAATAAACCATCCCCAACAAAGGTTTATTATTATTGTTTGGTATACCCGGTATACCCCTATTTGGGATGATTTAGAATGACCCACAATGCCTGGTTTAATATACTGGGATGGTTTAATTTATTATTAGGTTTACATCCTACTGGACTCGACATCACCGAATCCCCAATTTGTCAGCAAGGCCAAGCAGCAATGAGAAAACCTCAGTCGTCAACTCATCTTTCCCGCCAGTAGTCGTAATCAACGAGTCCAGGAATGTTCAAGTATTTCCTCCCGGGCACCATCGTGGGTAGAAAAGTTTCAAAGCATACCACCCACTCGAACTACAGTGCAGTATTGGCAAGAACAGAGCCCAGTTGCATTCAGGAAAAGAAACTAGCAAAATGAATCAAAATGAATCATATCCATTTATGATCATTTCTGTATATCAGAATCATTTATCAGAATCATATCCATTTATGTTTCAAATCCCCAGCGCCAGCTTCACCCCCCCCGTCTTTGGGTCGATCATGTCGTCACTTGCCATGACATGATGTCTACGGCACTGCTTTCGGTAGTTCTCCGTCAGATCCTTGTCGAGATCCTCAGAGGTCTGACGAATACATATACTATGGGGATAAATGGCTATATATATACTATGGGTATATAATATATATATAATATTATATATATAATATTATATATATAATATTATATATATAATATTATATATTTAGATAGTTTCTAGAGGTCTCGAAACAGATACCCTCTGGTTATGACTAACGCCATGGAAAGATCCACCATGTTTAATAGGTAAACCATCTATTTCTGTGGGCCATTTCCCATGGCTATGTTAAATAACCAGAGGCTAGTTTCTTTGATGACGAATAAATTTGGTGACTTGCGGTACATTGCGGTCCTTTATGAAAGTATCGGCTAAAATGTCGACATAGCTCTTGTGGACGACATCCTTGTATAGCTAATCAATCTCATACAAGTAGCATATGATGTATCATCTCATGATAATCTTCCGATATTCGCTTTCTGGTACGATCAGAATTATGTCCATGGTTTGTCTGAAATATGAGTTGTCTGGCATACTGTACCATGTTCCATCCATTGGTTTATCATGTTCCCTTAAGTTTCAATGGCCATAACTAGGGAGTCAAATCAGTTGAATCCCCATATTTAATCCCCCAAATTGGGACGCACAAAGAATCAAATCACATCAAATCCAGCCCAGCATCAATTTGTTTCAGAGCTTCCTGCAGTTCGCTGGGAAGCGGACAACGAACCTTGCACAGATTCTCGTCCTACGGGTGAATCTGGTTGGACATGCGGAGCATCTTCAACGCGAACCAAGCTTTGTGGTTGGCCACATGAAATTGTTTGGCAATCCCAAACAGGTCTATCCTACCAGAACTGTGAGAAATTGTGGTTCTGCCGTTTTGGGGATTACTGTAGATGTGTTGCTTTTAAATTGTCAAGACTTTCTTGTAAAAGAAATCTGAATATGAATGTTCCCCACAGTGGGACTGCATGCCCATCTTTGTCAATGGGTTGGAGGTTTCATGGGGTCATCAGTCCTCAGCATCTGGCATCGGAAAATGTAACCGATAGCAGTGGAGGAAAACGCGACGGCAAATCCTCAGAACAGTCCTATCACCACTGAGACCAGCTGGAACCAGGTGGTACCCAGCTTCATGTGACATCCGACACCTTCATGGCCACATGTTTGAAGGAACAACCAACAACCAAGGACCATCAAAAACAGCATTGCCACAATGTTGGCGTGCTCTGCGGGCTCTGCCTGCAACTTTCTGTGAACTGCTGCGTTGCTCAGACACACATAGGAATCCTGCTTTGTGATATCATGGAGCTTTCTATTGCTCACCTCTAGCATTACTCAAATTTCACCAGATATCCTTTTCTGTTTATGAGGGTTTAGGATGTTTCATATTCCATACTTTTCCTTTGGATTCCTTCCTTCAATCGTCCCTGTGGAGCTGAGTTGCCTCTTGTCCAGCTTCAAGTTCCGCGGTGGCAAGTACTTGTAGTCCCCCACGATGCCATGGGTCTGGCGTGTGAGTCATATCATGGTGAGAAAATGCCATCAGACATGATGTTTTCTGTGCAAAAAATGCAGCATGGTGGAAGATATGCCTCAAACAAAAGAAACTACAATGATGCTATATGATGCTAGTACTTCACATGGCTTTACAAACGGAAATGCGTCTTTGTGTATTGAGCAACTTCTAGGCCAGCTCTGTCTGAATGCTTCCTGTGTTGTAAAAAAGTAATGCTAAAGTAAAATTGTGCATCGGTCCCAAAGATATCAATGACGCACAGCTTATATTCCTTACTATCTTGTCTAGTGGTTGTGATCTACGGGATAATTACTCTTTTCCCTGCTCCCAGGCCAAGTTCGCATCAGACAATTTGGATCTACAGAATCTGCCCACATTTGGGTCCCAAAATTTGACCAGCTAGCGCCAGCCATGCTGCAATGCTTGCCTTCAAATTATTTCTGCGCGCCAACTCCATGAGGTGTACCCTGAGGGCGGGAATGAAATGTTTAGCGCTCAACCACGTGGGACATCGTGGGACCCGGGCTGGGAACATACTGGCGTTTCATCTTTGGGGTTGAGTGTCTCCAAGTTCTTGGCTATCTTGGAGCCCGGAAATTCCCTAAAAATGTGCAAAGAGACACAGGTCGCAAGGTCCGGGTCATCTCCATCTTCCGGCTGCGGCCTCATCCCCAGCCCCGGACCCACACCTGATCTGGTGCGTCTTCCCCGTGATAAGTTGAAGTCGGACAAGCCTGAGCGATCAACAGGGTGAATGATGACACTGCGATATCATGGGATTGGTTTAAGGGAGCTACAGGAAGCCCCTGGTTTTTCTGAAAAATCAATGGATTCCTGCAGAATTTCCCAAGAAATCATCCTGTTGAGAATAATAAGTATGATTAAAATTGAACGGCCACTGATCACTATGATCAAATATTAATGTAATGATATCTGTGAAATCGTGACTATTGATCGATCTTTCGCAAATATGATCACTATTGATCAATTTTGATCAACTACTACTCCGTTCAATATAAAAACCCCCAATCCTTATTACTCTCTAAATATTTCATTCCTCATCTTTTGCCATCTATTCCCATCGATTTCCCATTCAATTCAGTCTCGTGAGTTCTCTCATCCATTTTAGTCATTTCCCATTTATGCCCAATTTATTCTCGATCTATTCCCCATTTATTGCTTCACTAATTATGTCCTATGAATTCCCAACAATTCCCCATTCCTTCCTCGTTGATGTCCCAAAAATGGCGTTCTTCTCGATCGATTCCCATCAAGGCTGAGAAGCTTAGGGAACCGAGCTGCCGTCAATGGCTCTTTGGCCGTGCCTATGAATCCGGCCTTGAACAAAATACTTATATAATAAACTTCCATCAAATGAGTCAGAAAGTAGAGCACCCCTAATTTTACCGGTTGACCAGGACCCCATTAAAATTGTTGGGGAATTTGGTTCGGTCCTCATTTTCAGACACCCAAATCCTTCACGAATTTGCCAGGTGACGTGTAGCGCTGCGTTTTGCCGTGACCTTCAGAGTACTTGTAGGCAGCCACTGCCTAGCCCAGAGAGTACGGCTATGTACGGCTGGGAAGTGGTGCCACCATGATTGCAATCTAGGATGAATCAATCCTTGGTTTCTTACTGTGGGTACCATCATGACAATTTATTGATGAGTTCACGAATGTTCATGATTAGCTGATGATTCCTGGATGGCTCATTGATATAATGTGTAATTCTTAGTGTTGACTCATCACTTTTGGACCTACCCTCTGGTAAACTAACATAGCTATTGAAAATGGCCATTTATAGTTGATTTGCCCATTAAAAATGGTGATGTTCCATAGTTATGTTATGTTAGTTTACCAGAGGGTACTTTCTAAACCAGACTCAGCTGTCCAGCTCTCAGCCTCGTAGCGGGTCAGGGCATGTTGACCATGGGGGTCCACGCAAGTTCGCCAGCCAGAATAGCCTGGGATGTCCCTAGCGTGTGCTATAAATGATGGCCCATCTAATTAATCTAATTGGGGTTCCAATCTCAAGAAATGAGTTGTCACTAGTCACTAGAACAACCTTGTTTCTAGTGTTACAAATCATATTTTTAAATAAAACTCCGGATATCTTCGCTGGACTTTTTGAAAGTGGCGATTGCGCCATGGGAAAGTGCTTTCATCCCACCCTGGAGCCTCGCTCTCTGGTGGTTAACAACGGATAGTCCATTTCACCACAACACTGACGAACCGGAAGAGCTCCATGCATCAAAGCAATGTACTCCTCGGGCCGGACTGCAATGGTTTGAAAAATGGTTGAGCCATTGATACCTTTCCTCTTCTGGTTGTACCATGTTGTACCTTTGTCTTTGACCAAAAAGTTGAAAGTGTGACTGATTTCTTGGGCAACAATAGAAGCGAACTGCTCCTAAAAGGGGTGTCCGAATTCCAGAAAACGCATGCAAAAGCAACAAACAACTTGCTTGATTGCAAGCAGAGTGAGATCGACTCAGACAGCCTGTCGCGAACAAAAGCTGCTCCAGTGCCGAGGTTTCAACTCTGTTCAACTGGTCATGGTCAAACATGGGAAACCAGGCACCGGCCAGATTTTTTTTATAGTGACCCCTCCAATTTTGGGCATTCTGAGCATTTTCTCTGAATAGTTTTGCCCATTTTGCCAGTTTTGCAGGACCAATCTCAGCCCTGTCCTTGTAGAACTTGTGATAATGCAGGCTTTCCCGCAAGTGTTTGAAGGCCTTTGGTGTGGATCCACACACAATTGGCCCACTGGTCTGCACCTGCCCGGAGCGACGGGGAGAGGGACTGAAAAATCGTCGTGGTCCCAGACTTAAAATGGCAATGTGGCAGTGACCGATTTCGAGATCTGAAAGTCAAGTGCTGCTTTGGCGCATCCAAGCGGTGTATCAAACCAGCACGATCATTGGTGTAGAGGAACTTGTACCTGGCAGAAGTCTGCGCAATCCGCAAGAGCCAATCGTTACAGAAGATTGGTCACGCTGGATTGAAGAACAAGAGATACACTCACAGAAATTTTCGCGCGTTGGCAATGTTTCCACTTTATGTGCCGAAGCTGATTGCCCAAAACAACTTCGTTAAAGAACCGTTGGAATGGTTGAGGAAGTTGATGACTTGAGAACTTGGTCATTCGGTCATTCAATTGGGGCACCTGTGGCCCATATGGTTCCTGATCCAGTCTTGAAGAGCCGAATGTCTGCCTGAGACCACTAGAGAGGTTCCCAGAGACGTCCTCATGTTCTGGATCAAGATTGCAGGCTGCCAGACCCAAGAAAATCACATATATAATAATATGATCTATAATTAATCTCTAAAAGAATCTTTAATCCATAAAATAAAATATAATCTATACATCAATATCTGTTGTATTTAGATTTGGGGTTTCTTCCATGTTTCACCTTTCCAAGTCACTGATGACTCGCTCGCCATCCTGGCACAGCTGCTCCCGACTTGGGATGCAGAAAAGACGAATCCGAACCTCAATTGTTCGGGGGTTAATTACTATTTGAAGTTTTCGAACTTGGATCAAACATGATCAAACCACCAAAACTATCCAAAACTGTCAACTTAGGACCTGCCTGGATGTTAGGATTCAGGTTCGGTGTGAAAAAAAAAACGTCGCACACGGTTAGTTCATACGTTTCCCGAAGCAACCACTCCCCCCGTTGCAAATCTTGGGAACAGAAACTTATGGATCGAATGGCGCTCAAACGGTCGATTGATGAATTGATTGAAAGGTTAGAGCAATCAATCGATCGCTTGCTTCATTAATGGAGCAATTTTCTTGTTTCCAAACATGACTGCCTCAGGGAAACTTGGAATTAGCTATCGCATGTCCCAGCAAGTGACTGAATGGTTGGCGGGTTGGGAGATTGTGCGAACAACCTGGATTGATTTGGTGAATCCTTGTCTGATTGAGTTTGTGCTTGACTGGATTGGATGAGTTGATGATGAGCAAGTGAATGGTGATTGACTCATTGACGGCTTGTGCTAAATGTGCCAAAAACTCCCGAAAGCCCAGGCCCATAGCATAGTGCTAATGCCGGCCAATGCAAGTTCCAACCCCAGCAAAATGTAAAGACGCTGGGAAAACCGGCGGCCCCCCAAAGGTGTCCACGAGTCTCAAACAAGGCAGATGGACTTGGCAGGTGGTCATCGTCCAAAACGCTGGCTTGTAGACCTGTCCAGTCAGCCACTGGGCCACGGTGTCAGACTTTGTATCAGCCACCCAGCGACCCAGGTCCCATCGGGTCCCTCTAGGTTCCGTACCACCAAAACACCGTTCTTGTCCAAAGCGACCTGGCAGTCGTACTTATCTGGGCCACTCAAGATGACCCTTTCTCATCCAACTGGGATGATTCTCTGCAAGTGGGAATGAAGAATCAAGATTTTGAAACCGCCCCACACAGTATGTATATGTATGTATTATAGTCTTGTCTATGTGTTTCAGAATCTCTCTGTCCTTCAACTGATAAGCCCCACTTCATGCCCTTTTTACTATCCAACATTCTCCAACCATGCCCCACTGATCCCCAAGCGACCTTGGGTCCTTCCTCTGGGAAAGACATGATGTCTTTGCACCATGCCATGGGCTCGGGTGCCATGGCCATGGCCATGGTGACGGGCTCCAGTTGGATGTGCCGCTGCCGCTGCCTGGGCTGCCCCCTGGGCGCCCTGGGCAGGCTGGGTTCGCTGCGGGCGCTCCTGCGATCAGCTCATCCCAATGGGAATCCTTATGACATGGCTATTATAATGTATGCATATATATACATGTGTGTGTGTAACTGTGTAACATATATACTGGTTGGTGGTTAAAAAAACATCTTGAAAAATGATGGACTTCGTCAGGATAACATCCCATATATTATGGAAAATAAAAGCCATGTTTGAAACCACCAACCAGTGTATATATATATACATATATATATATAATTAAACATGATACTACATAAATTCTCTGTCAACGGATTGACGAACCTGACCATCCAAAGCCAGTCGGTCCCCGACTAACAATCACTATAACTTGGATGATTTATGATGATTTGGGGGTGCCCCATCTTAAGAAACACTCAAGCCTACCAGCAACTGAATGTCATCTGGAAGTTTGAGGAAAGTTCTCTTTCCATCCCAGAACTTCAAATCGCACCATGTCCTGAGTTTCCGATCATCGAAGTAGCGCATGGAGCTCCATGGCCTGTCAGAAGTGAACTCCAGGGGGTCGCAGTCCATGGGTTTTTGTTCAACCAAAAAAACGCTTGTTTTAACCCAAAAAAGCGCTGTGGACACGACGACCAAGCAAATTTGTCTCAAATTCTCCCGAAAAGACCAGTACGACCAGGCCTTTCAGCACTCCTACTCCTGTCACGAGACCTGACCCAGGAATCAACGCACGGGAGTGAGGATAGATTCTCTCGGATCCCTTGCCCTTTCAAATGGTAAAAATCCGCCCACACCGCCTTGGCGGTGAAGGCGTGCTTATTGGGGGGCAACAGCAACACTAAATGCTCAATGACATTTGTTAATATAGCAGTCGCTATATCAGCTTTAGCTGGGGGGGGGGGGCCCAAAAACGGTTTCGCACCGAGACCAGAATACGGTGGTGTTTTCGACATTTTTCGAGGATTTTTGGGTGTCTGAGCGCAAGAGGGTATTGAAATGGAATTTTGGGTCATTTTGGTAGCTTTCCGGCAATGGAAAAACGGCCAAAAATGAAAAAAACATTGTACATAGCAAGATTTTGCAGGGTTTTTGGATGCCAGAGCATTGAAAACACTGCAAAAACAGGTGTTTTGCTGACGTTATAGCAAAAAACGTGTAAATTACCGTATGCTTGACTGGAAACATTACAAAAACACTGTCAAAAGCAATATTTTGGAAGGATTTACTGCCTTTATTGAAAAAAACGTGTAAATTACCGTCTGTTTGACTGGAAACATTGGAAAAACACTGTCAAAAAAAATGTTTTGGAAGGATTTCTTATATATATATATATTGGAGTTGGCTACCGGCATTGGCACATGGAAAAATTGAAGAAAACACTGTAAATAGCGGTATTTTCAACGGTTGGGGAGATAAGGGAATTGGAAGCATTGTCGAACATGATGTTTTCGACCGGTTTTATGGCGACAAAAGTGTAAAGTACCGTGCTTTGAAGGAAACCATTGCAAAAACATGGAAACACATTCAAAGAACACGGGATTTGGGGGACTATCTAGGCGTCGTTGTCTAGCTATTTGAAATTCCGCAGCTTGGAGAGCCTCCAAGGGAGGGAAAAGTGAAAATTCCATAGCTTGGGAAGCTGTCACGGCGGGGAAAAGTGAAAATTCCCTAGCTTGGGAAGCCCCCACGGGGGGGAAAAGTGAAAATTCCCTAGCTTGGGGAGCCCCCACGGGGGGGAAAAGTGAAAATTCCCTAGCTTGGGGAGCCCCCACGGGGGGGAAAAGTGAAAATTCCCTAGCTTGGGGAGCCCCCACGGGGGGGAAAAGTGAAAATTCCCTAGCTTGGGGAGCCCCCACGGGGGGGAAAAGTGAAAATTCCCTAGCTTGGGGAGCCCCCACGGGGGGGAAAAGTGAAAATTCCCTAGCTTGGGGAGCCCCCACGGGGGGGAAAAGTGAAAATTCCCTAGCTTGGGGAGCCCCCACGGGGGGGAAAAGTGAAAATTCCCTAGCTTGGGGAGCCCCCACGGGGGGGAAAAGTGAAAATTCCCTAGCTTGGGGAGCCCCCACGGGGGGGGGGAAAGTGAAAATTCTTAGCTTGGGGAGCCTCTACGAGGGAAAACCACCCTTAGCCCCTCTCACGGACCGAAATAAACCTGCGGTGTGGGCGGCCACCCCACGCGAAGCGGGGTGAATATGTTTGAAGAATGATCACATTTGGGAGGACAGAAATCTGATGATAAACTCGAGGCCCAGGGGTAAGGGAGGAAAGCTAGCTTGGCAAGGAGCTTGGCAAGAAAACACAATGATGTTGAGGATGCGGATGCTGCCAAATTTGCTCCCGGTGACGACGGGGGGATTGAACCACGGCCAAACTGCTTGTGAACCAGCCAGCCGGGGGGAGGGGGGTAGTTAAGTATGAAGTTTCATGCGATTGGAGATTCCAGCCCCCCAAATACCTTGCTAAAGCAACAGGGACTTCAGCCCTATCTTTTTTTTCTTCATTTATATTTATATTTATAGGATTTTATAGGTATTTGTCCTCTGTTGAAAGCACAACAAACAACAGAAGTTACCGAATTCACGAATTTTGTCCACTGATTTTTCATGGGTGTTTCCTCCATCGCCAGGTTACCAGCTAAGAAAAAACGGGAAAAAACGCACCTGGATCGATCCAGGCGAATCTCCCGAGCCCTGTAGCCTGGCGGATCAACATCCAGGCCTTTCTGAAATTTGGATGGATAAGGATATCCAACCTCAATTTGGATGGATTTTGGATGAATTTGGAATGAAATTGGATGGATCTTGGATGAATTGGATGGATTTTGGATGAATTTGGATGAAAATGTGCGGTGGGTTTCGACAGTTTGGACACACTGGAACATGCACACGGTTTGTTTCGAAAGTTTTGCATCTTCAAAATGTTGGCCATATTGTGCTATTTTTTTGTCCTGTCCACCTTGTGATAGTTGGCCAACCTAAATTCAAACAGTCGTGAAGGTGCGTTGAGGTCATTCGAAATGCCAAGACTTTGTACATCTGAGCCTGAACAGGTGCGTAATTACAGATCAACGTATTTATAAAGTTTAAGCATCCCAAACTAGGACGGCTGTATAACGGTTGATACGCTTCAAATCTCAAAATGACCAGAGCTTCCGTATTTTTTTTCACATCGCACCTGGTGAGGCAGGCTCGTCGTCCACGGCCGGCGCGGTCTCTTCGCTCCAGGCGAATTTCAGTTTCAAGTCCGCCAGGCTGCGACAGTTTCGCAACGCCTCGGCATCCTGCGACTGCACGGAAGAACTACGAAGAACTACTCGGCACGGGTGGGCGGTGAACCAAAGACGTAAGAGTCTGATGAGAGATGCAAATTATCCAAGAAAATAATGACGGTTGATTTCAAAGGTTGGGGCATATGCAAATAAGGGAAGGGAAATCGCAAATCTGAAATGAAAAGGCAACGATTTGGACGTAGTGAGATTATTGGCTCTTTCATACCACAGCTCAGCAGAGTGCTAGGGCCTTGATCGAGACGAATCCAAGCAAAGGTGGACAGTCATCAAACCTGTCAGCATGTTGGATCCCGGCACATCGCGAAGCCGAATAGGCCGAATAGCTAAGCATAGCTCAGCTAAGCCCGTGACACCAAGGAATGCTCCCATTGCAGGGAGAAGCGGTTCACCTCCACAGTGCTTTTGCTTCCTGTCTCCTGCCATCAACATCCATCAACCCATGACCTCCCATCACCTGCTGGTGCCTAAGTGCCTAAGTGCCTAAGTGCCTAAGCCAGGCTCGTTGCCCGGTGTCCTTGCGCAAAGCTTCCAACAATCGTTCCCTCAAACTTTGGGCTGCACCCGGCTTGGCCAGCCGCGAAGGCAGCTCCTGGCTGAAGGTTTTTTCAAAAAAATTAGGGTAACCGATGTACCCAAGTATTTAACGGGACAAATGATAACAAACCAGTGGATCTGGGGGTATCCTATCTTCAAACAAACCCATATTGGACTCTTCAATGTCATTTATGTATCCTAATGTTGGAGCTGGGTATCCCTGATTTTGTTGTGTGATGCAATCATAGTCTTGCTCGACATCTCCATTTTTGACATACCGTTTATCAGCGCTTGGCACGAGAGAGTTACAGATCGTTGCCAGATCGCACATCAATAATCCCTTTCCCCGTTCATTTTTGCAGGTGCCCTATTCTTTGGGTTTCAACTATGATCAGTTATGATCGGGTGCGGGGTCAGTGCTGGGTCTATTTTCCCTTCATCTCCCATATTTTTCTCCACGTCTTTCACTATTCCTGGCCATTCCTGGCCTGATCCCAGCAGGCAAGCCATGTGCTGAAGCCCTGCTTCAATGGTCCCAAATCATCCTGGACAGCCATGGGAAACTCGAGCCATGGCGAGTTTTCAAAAGGCTGAAATCTTTGGCAACTTTGGCCAGGGTAATGAGGAGATTACTATGTTTCAGGCTACCCTACAGTAGATAGTTTTGGCCCATATCTTTAAACCCTTAAATTTAAATGACATCATCAAGCTGCGCTGCTGATAGGGACCCTCCTCCTCTTCATAGTCCTCCAAGTCCAAATCCTCCTGCAAGTGCCGCCATCGACCAGTTCCATTGGAGCTTTGAAATTCAGCTGTAGTTATGGGACGTGGAGTCAACAGCACATCTTTACACATCTATGTATGTATAAATATATACATGTACATAATCGTATGATATGACAAATATATACCATGATATTTACAGATATATAGGATGATATGTACATTATATATATATATGTATTACAGTCTCGACAACGACAAAGCCCGTGCCTGTTTTCCAAACCAAAATGCCTGCGGTAATACAGGTGCACTTCTGTGATTTGTGCGTGTCATCCATCGCACCTGACAGACTCCCCCAATCGTGGTCTCACGATTCCTTGGAGGAAAAACTTCGAATTTTGGCACCCAGCCAAATTGAATTGAATTTTCAAGACAAAAATTTAAGAGAGAGACCTAAAAATTGTAGGCTCAAGGCATTTTATCCTTTTCGGATGATCGCCACTTCTTGTACATGGCTGACATCTTTGCCGGCGACCATCCTTTGCCTCTATTTTCATGTTGAAACAAATTCTATGGGTTATGTAAAGTCGTTTCAGACCTTTCACCACCCAACAGTGCCTCGCTCACTCCAGCTGCATGCCGCTGCAAAGCGCTCTCCATATTGACGCCATCAGCAGCCGCACGCGCAGAAATCTCCGCCACAGCGCGCAGGGCCTGCTCAAGGCCAGATACATCAGCTGCAAAGGCCTGCTCAGGACCTGAAGAAGCCGCAGAGGCCTGCACAGGGCCAGAAGCCGCAGCCGCAAAAGGATCAGCACCGCTCGAAGAAAAGGCCTGCACAGGGCCAAGTCCAGTGCTAGAAGATCCGCCAGCCGCCGTATTTATAGATCTCAGAGCCTGCTCAAGGCCAGAACTGCACGAAGATGTTCCAGAGGCCTGCCCAAAGCCAGAACTGCACGAAGATGCTCCAGAGGCCTGCACAAGGCGAGCACGTTCAGCAGTTATTGAACTTGTCGAACTTGTGGCCTGCACAGGACCAAACACCACGCTGCTCGTTGAAGACTCAGCGCCAAGGGCCTGCTCAGGGCCAGAACTGCATATAGATCCAGCAGAAGGGGCCTGCACAGGGCCAACATTTCCAGCGCCGCTTGAAGACGCTCCAGAGGCCTGCACAGGGCCAGATCCGCTCGAAGTGCCCGAGCGTCGCCTCAAACTCGATCTCATTTCAACACCTTTGGTAGCGGAGCTTGATGATTCATCACCATCACTTGAAACAACTGCTTGAAGCTCGTTGACCCATTGCAATCGTCTCAGGCAACACCTCGCTGACATCATTGTCAATTTGCCTGCATAGATTGCCCCAAGGATCATCAGCAGCACCGCAGCTATCCACAACGGATCAGCTTCATCGCTCTCGCTTTTCAACTCCAGAGCTGTAGCTTCTGTCAGCAACGTCTGACCAACAAAAAAACTCATTGCTGCAGCAGCACCCGCATGAGCACGTTCTTGATTGTTGCGACTTCTCACTTGAGCCGCCCGTACTTCAGGGTCTTCAGGCCGCAAAAACGGTGCATTCATGCCAAGGTTTTCAACAAAACGTTGAAAGGCAGCTCCAAAAAGAGGCTTTGTAAAACCATCAGCAACTAAGTTAAGGCCACGCGCATGGATCAGCTTCCATTGGCCTCCAGCTGCATCAGTTTCATCAAGGGCTTGTTTCAAAAGGCTTGCTCTGATGCGCAAGTGTCTTGTTCGCCATGAAGAAGCTGTAGTTCCATTGGCCAGTCCAATCGCGGCAATGTTGTCACCATAGATGACTTTCATCACAGCTGTAACACCTGTGAGCTCCATCACCAGAGCTTCAGCTGCTTTGCCAGCGATCAGGCCTTCACAGTAGCTAACCAGCTCAGCTTCAGCCGTACTGTGAGTGACAAAGGGTTGTTGGCTTGTTTGCCAACAGATCGGCTGACCACCAAGGCAAACAACGATCCCCTGGACGCTTCTATGGCCAGAACCTGCAGAGTAGGCGATATCGCAGAAGATCTCCAGGAGCAGGTCACTTCTTTTCACCTTCAGCTGGCCATGGGCACCCCAGTCATCAGGAACATGTGTTGTGTACCTCAAACCAACGCCAGGGTTTCCCTTGACGTATTTCATCAACGTTGTGCCGATCTGAATGGCTTTGACAGGAGCCTTTGTCATAAGCCTGCTCATTGTTGCAACTCCATGAGCAAGGTCAGGTCGTGTTCGGGAGCTCAACCACAGCAAAGAACCAGCCATAGCTTGAGCTGTCCTGACATCATTTGGGTCAGGGCTTTCTTCAACTTCTTGATCCTCAGCAACTTTGTAGTGAGGATATGCAACTCCTTCATCAACATTCCAACGTTGCAACATCTCCTGCTCGTACATGTGCTGGTTGACATGAAAACCATCGCCTTTGGCATCTTCAGAAATCTCAAAACCGCAGTACTTGAGAGGCTTGTCAACACCCGCCCACTCCACAGAAGACGTTGTCCAAACTCCAGAGAGAGCTTGTAGAGCGCCATGAACTGCAAACTCTTCACCAGTGACCAAGATGTCGTCCACATACACCGACATGAGGCCATTCCAGTGGATGTAGCCTGATTCATCCAGTTCTTCCAAGCGCCAAACGTTTTCATCTTTTGTTTTCTCAAAACCTCCAGTCAGCAACCCATTTGGACCTTGCCTTGTCCACTTCAGCGTTGGCAAAACTGCATCACGGTGAAGACACCAGTCCCTTGGTGAAGCCTGGAGTCCGTACATTGCAAGCATGATGAGCCAAACTTCATCAGGTCCAGCCAGGCCCAACATTTTGTACACATGCGGCACTTCCATAGCTATGAGTCTGGAGTCTCTTCTCGGCGCATTGAGGAACGCCGTTCGTATGTCAGTCGAAGCAGCTTTCCACTTGTACTGAGCACTGATCCTTAGCATTGTTCGGATCTGTGTTGCATCAGCACCTCCAGCGTACGTGTTGTCGTCATTCGGTGTCTGGTAGTTTCCACACACCACTGCTCTTGAACGGTATGCTCCTGATCCAGCTTTTCTAGTGTGAACCTTTTTTGCTGGAAGGATCTCCAAAGTTTTGTTTTGCACTTCAGCCATTTTTTGGAGTTCCGTTCTTGTCATTGGTTTGACAGCTTTTTTGTTGACGACAAGCTGCTCGTACTCGGCCTTGATGGATTCAGTCCAGTCGGCAAGGTTTTCACGAACCTCTTTGTTGCTGACCGTTTTGGTGACCAAAAACTCATGGGTCAACTGTTGTTGTTCTTCAGCTCGATCTTCATCCGCAAGTAGTTGAATTTGTTCTTCAACTTCAACCTTTCTAACCAGAGCTTTGTTGAGCTCAGGGAGACACCACATTTCTTCAGGGAAGGTGCCATCAAGCTTGCAGATCTCCTCGGCTATATAGTCCGAGACATTGTCGTGGATGGTTTGGAGGGCTTGTATCTTTGACATTCTAACCAGAACATTTTTTGATACATTTGAGGCCGCAGAGCTTGAGCCACCGTCTCTGCTGTTAGGCGCCTCCCCCAAATCCTCCTCCACATCACTTTCCTCCTCCTTTTGATCATGAACTTCATCAGTTTCTGTTTGCCCCCCATCACCATCCTTTTCATCATCATGCCCTAGTCGCGGAGCATCATGAACCTCATGTTGTTCTTGAGGTGGATGTTGTTGTGCTGGAGAAAGCGTTGTTTCCAAAGTCCATGAACCTTCAGAGGCAACTTCACTGTCAGGCGGCAGCACAAACTCAAACACACTGCCAAACTTTGCAAGGATGCGCTTCTCCCCCTCAATGTGCAACATTGACATAGTGGCAATTGCTGGTGGCGGAGCTGTCTTTGATCTCAATCTTCGTGCTGGCACACCATCACAAAAAAGCGGTTGAGCTTGTCTTTCATCACGTTCAGGGAGATATGGCAAAACTTCTCCCCCGGGACCAGCATCGACAGCTGCATTCATGCCATCATCCGCAGGAATCACCACATCATCAGTGTAGAAGCACCTTTCCGTTGCAACTGCTTTGACATAGTATGTTGTTGTGGTTATAGAAGATCCTTCAGCGGGGCCCCACACCACAACTTCTTCTCGGCAATCACGCCATTGAGCGTAGCGATCTTGCCAGCTTTTCTTGAGGGCATAGGCTTTTGAGCCAAACCTCAAAAGTTTTTCAACTGGCCAGCCTGCTTGGTTGAGTTGATTGCGGAGACGTCTTTCTCCAACATGTCGCACCGCAAGAGGCCATCTGTCCAAAGGGCATGCTCCAGCAGAGATCAAAGTGCGGACACCTTTTTTGATCATCCCAACTTCATTTTCAGCTCTGCCGTTTGTTTTGAAAGCACTGCCAGGTGTCATAGTTTGAACTATTCCACGGTCAAGACACCATTGATGGACAGGTTTTGCCAAAAACTCACGTGCACGGTCACTATGCATTCGGTACACAGGGCAGCCCAAAGAGCGCAAACGAGCATAGATCTTGGCAATCGCCGGCAGCACGTTGTGCACATTTCGATCTGCAATGGGCTCTGCAAAAGTGAGGTTGCGCACAGTGACATCCTTGGACTCATTGATGAGGCGCATCCAAGTGTCGTGCATTCCATAGGCTGACTTCACTTCTTCATCTTCCACAAGGTCAGGAACCGATTCTTCTTGGAGAGGATCAGGTTCATCTTGTGCAACACCTGCAGGAAGACCTTGTTCATGTTGAGCTTCATGGCCCGTTTGTTGTTGATCTCGTTCACCATGTTGTTGAGGTGGTTGACCATCTCCAGGTTGTTGTTCTTGAGGATCACCAGAGAGCTCGGGGTCATCAAGGCCAGGCAAAGGGTGATCTTCCTCTTCATCTTGGTCAGGACACAACAAGAGTGGTTTCCCCTTTTTGTTGACGGGGTATGTGTAAACTCCAACCAAGAAGTATTTGTTGGTACCAGGAGTTTGGTCCTTGCCACCAGTCATCCGACCAGACATGTCCAAGCTCAAAGTGAAGCTTTCAGGATGACAAACTCGGCGATGTGCTCGACTGCGACCTTGAGAACGTACACAGTGGCTGCAATCTCGACGGGCCGGCATGTGGTCCTGCATGTAGTGTTGCTTCCATTGTTGAAGGGCAACATTTCCAATTGCAGCGACACCAACAGGTCGGACATCATCTTCGGCGTAAACAACGCCAGTAGGATCTTCAGGTCCTTCACGTGGAGGCGCTTCACGGCGAATCCATCTGCTGATTGCTTCAGCAACTGCAGCCTTCAAACCCGGTGCCCAAGCCGCCCAAGTTTTTGACATAGCACATCTTTCTTTCACACTGAGTTCTGGTAGCGGAGCAACTTCAGGTTCAGCTCCACGACCTCGCACATCTTGTAGCTGCATCATCTCATTCATGTTGATCAAGGCCAAAGTGGTTGGCTTTCGTTTTGGGTGTCCAAAAGGCCCTTGATCAAAGGAGATCAGCTTGGCGTTGTAGGCTTCTTGGAAGCTTTTCCATTCCTGAGTTCTCCACATTGAAAAGTACTGGTGCTCATCCACATCCTCCTTCTTGCGGTATTCCGCTGGGTCTTGAGGTTGTTCACAAAGAAATGCAGTTTGAGCTTGTTCTTTTGGACGCACTTCTTCACAGAGGATGTACATCAGCAACAATCGGAGCCACAGAATTGAGTCATTGGTGACCAGTTCAGCTTGTTGTGGAGTCAAAGATGGCAAACCATATGGGTGATCTTCTGTTCGAAGAATTGGTGGACCGTCATCCTTTTGAAACCTGAGAGCACTTGTTGTTCTGCATGGAGGGCCTCCAAGTAGAGCTTTGACACGTTTGCTGGCGCACAAGGAAAGCAAAAACGCAAAGGTTGTTTCATCCAAAGCATTTGAAGGTGTTGAAGCTTCCAAGTCCACGCACAGCACCTCAGTGTGCTCATTTGACAAACGCCGCTCCCAGTAAGAAGCATCAGGTCCACTGTACATGTGGATGATCACATTCTTTGCCATCATGAGTCTTTTTCGCTTTCTGCGATTCCATGGAAGGTTCAAGCCGATGTTGGGGTCCGTGAGCACTGAGAGATCTGGGACCAGCTTCAACGCCAAATCTTCAGGCAAAGTCGGCATGACCTCCTTGAGCTTGACAAGCATCGCCATTTCAATGCTCATGTTGTTGCCAAGACCGGCAGCCCCTCTTGTCAAGATTGACTTCAAGGTCATCTTTTTCAGCTCTTGTTGAATTTGATGCTGTTCCAACACCGTCAGCAGCTTTGCTCCAAATTCATGAGCAACGTAGGGACATCCATTGTGAAGTTCCACATTGACCTTGTCTCCAGCTTTTGTGTAGAGATGGCACATGTGGTCTTTCCACACCAACTTGTAGTTGAGCTCGTTCAAGCATCCCATTGGAACGATCCAAGAGGTGTTTTCAGGCCGAAGGAGAGGATCGGAAAGCAAAACTTTGGTGCCAGGCTTCAAACGGAGGCTTTCTGTGACACCATCAGCCAACATCACCTGAGTTCTTGTGCCCGACTGCCATTCTTCTTCTGAAGCTGCAGGACGTAGGCCATGTGTTGCACCAGAGTCCAGCAACACCATTTGAGCATGAGACTCCAACTTTGACAGTCGCATTACCTTCAGGTTGGGCATACGCAAGGACTTCAGCAACTGAGTGGCTTCTGCCAACAGTTCAGTGGTCGCAGGAGTGGCAGCTGGAGCTCCCCCCTTATCCACCTCCGTGGTTGCACTAGATGAAGCCCCAAGGGAGTTACTCTCAGCACCCAGTCCTGGACCATCAGCGCACGTACTAGAGGAGGTTTGATCAGTTGTTGAGCTTGCAATTCCACCATCATGACCTTTTCCAACTGAAGCTTGCTTGACAGCCGCTTTGTTGTTGGCTGCATTTTGATTTCCACCACCACGTCCTCCCCCCAAACCAGAGTCATTGGACGAAGGTTTGTAGTTGTTGCCATTGCCCTTGACTTTGCATTCCGTTTTTCTGTGATCTTTGCCGCCACAGATCCAGCATCGACTGTTCTTGTCCTCGATGCCCTCCCAAGAGTGAGACCACTTGCAGCTTCGACCAGCTTTGCATCCAGTGTCGCTCTTGAAGAACTTGCATGGTTGCTCCGACATAGGAGTTGAGTTGCCCTTGCCGGACTTGTTGCCATAGTTTCCAGGAGTGCCAGGCTTTTGAGGTGAGTTTGATGCTTCAGCATCCATTTGTTTGAGCCTCACAGGTGTGCTCGCACTTGCTGTTGTGGTAGAGGAGGATTTCAGCAGACTCAGCGTCTCCGCCTCTGCAAGAAGACATTGGCTAAAACTCCATATTGATTGCTCCGTTGGACGTTGATCCAGTGCCAGTTGTTGTCGGCTTGTGGAAAGCCTGAACGCTGCTTGGGAGTCTTCCTTGGCGATCTGGACAACCGCAGCTTCAAGTGCCTTTATCAACAGCACTCCATCAGGCAAACTTGCATCCACCTCCCTGGCCCTTGCAAAGTATCGCCGCCATGTTCTCAGAGAAGAAGCCAATTCCTGCATCGTAGATGCCTTTTGCAGTGAGGTCAATTGCCCCAAGAGGATTGCCTTTTCACCTGGTCCTCCTGGTTGATGCCGCACGTAGAGGCGGAACAGAATCGCCGTACTGGTCAAATCTCGATCCACCACCAGCTCCCGTTGCTGCTCATCGCTCACTGCTTTGAGCAAAAGTGTAACACCCCTCTGCTCCGTTCTGATGAAGCAGCTTGCCATCAGTTCATCAGGAAGACGAGGACAAAGTTGAACACGTTGTAGAGGAGATAGTCCCTTCCATTCCATGTAGAAGGCATGAGCTTGTCTCACCGTTGCATTCCACCATCTTCCAGCGACATGGGACAAATCCTTCATGATGGGACCACAAAGACAAAGCCAATCTCCAAACTCCAACGGCGATGCGCCATTCGGCAACGTCGGCAGTTCAGCTTTTCCACCACTTCCACCTCCAGACGCTTCCCATGATGCCGGCATTGGTGCAACACCCATAGTTCCTCCACCATGAAGACGTCCGTCACGAAGAAGACCATGTAGTTCAGCGCCACCATGGAGTCGTTCATCTCGAGGAAGACCATGAAGTTGTTCAGCCGCACCACCATGCAAAGCCCGATCATGTCCAGGTAGATCTCCAAGCGCAGTGCCATGCAAAGCCCGATCATGTCCAGGTAGATCTCCAAGCGCAGTGCCATGCAAAGCCCGATCATGTCCAGGTAGATCTCCCAGCGCAGTGCCATGCAAAGCCCGACCATGATGAGCTCCTCCATCTCCAATCGCAACTCCACGTAGCGCATCATCTCCAAGCACCGTGCCATGCAGAGCCCGATCTTGTTGGGCACCTTCACCATGCACAGCGCCACGAAGAGCCCGACCTTGTTGAGCAGCATCACCACTTCCAGGAAGCAAATGACGTAGATCTTTTCCATGCGCATTGCCAGCACCACCGGACGGATTCCAGTACGCAGATTCAGTCAGAGTTGATGGAACAGCTACCCTATCCAGTGCAACTTTCAAAGACCGAACCTCTCTTTCCAACCATGCTTGTTTTGCCTCTTGAGGAGAAAGAATTGCATCATTCCCTTTTTCATCATGAGGTTTCCATTGAACATCACCGTTTCTCACACGCGGTTTTGATTCGCATGTATCATACAGTCCATCATCAAAACTGGTGCCCACACGCTGACTACCCCCAACCTGCTCATTCTCAACGACTGGCAAAGGTGGCACAGGAGGCAAACAGCTGACACTTGCAGTTGGCGGTGGACCATCCGGCACACGAGTACCATTTGGTGTGAATTTCAGTGAATCCCTTTTGGTTTTTCTCTCAGGACTAACTGCAACTTCACGAACAGCACCACGAGGTGTTCTGCTACCATTTCTCACATGACGGTCATGTTTTTGTGAATCACTAGCCGACCCACTTCCAATCCCGTCTATTCTTGACCATGGTGAAGAACCAGCCCCCGAAGACTTTTCCAGTTTCTCCTTGAGAGCCGCTACTTCGTTTTGTAGCTTCGAATTTTGCTGACGTAGAAAATCAACCGTTTCTACTTCCAAAGCTCTTTGCAAACCATTTCCATCACCCGTAACAAGAGTTTCAGGTTCCCCATTGGTTCCAGTAGCCACAGTTGGCAATTTTCCCTCAGTCTTCAACACGCGGATCCCCACCTCGGTCTCATCCCTCGGCATCACACCAGCCGAAGCACTTCCTCGACCTTTTCCAGTAGGGTTGCCATCCACGTTGGACTGAATCGCCAATTCAGGACTGCTAAAACTTCCAGCTAGAACTTCTTCTTCTTGCGCAGGCAATTCCTTAGGTCTCGCTGCATCTAACCTGCATTGGTCCTTGGCCTTCTCGGAGTAGAAAGGATTCACGTCCAATCCACCTGGGCCGCTTCGATCCCCAACAGGCACTGAATGGGATCTAGAACCACCAACTTCCATGGCTATTTCAAAAGCCCAGAGTAGACGCAAGGGTTGGGCTCATAACCCTCGACAACGACAAAGCCCGTGCCTGTTTTCCAAACCAAAATGCCTGCGGTAATACAGGTGCACTTCTGTGATTTGTGCGTGTCATCCATCGCACCTGACAGAATTATACATTATTTGTTTGCGGTTGATAGTGTAAATACCCCAAACATTAGCTCAGTCCGGTCCATTGACAGGATGCGACAGGGTGCCCAAAAATCCAATGGATTCTCCTCATTTTCCCCACTCAATGGCCATAACCTGGGGGTTGTATACCCTCTGGTAAACTAACATAGCTATTGAAAATGGCCATAGAAATAGTGGATTTCCCATTAAACATTGTGATTTTCCATAGCTATGTTAAATTACCAGAGGGTAAATCCCAAGTTCAGACATACCGTTAAAAAATATTCAAAAATAAGTATCAAGCTGGGATATTCCACATGATATTCCCCATTGTAATCCCCATGATTGGCCTGTCGTACCCATCGTGCCCGGCCCATTCCACGGTCGCTGGGGTGGTCCTCAAAGTCATCTTCACCATCAAAGTCGTCAAAGTCCAAATCATCGTCAGCGTCGCTCACATCCACCGGTTCCATCTCCTGGCTTTGGGAGTATTTTCACTGCGGTACAACCAATAAGAATTAGGATTTTCACCATTACTAATGGAATGATTATGGAATTTTGATAGGATAAACAGATAACTATGAGCACTCCCAAATTTTGTAGCAATCTGAATGGGGAAGATGATGATGCCATCAAATTTGGAAGTCTCCTATTTTCAGCAAAGCGTAGCAAAGCCAAATGACTTGGGATATGTGGGATGCACCCCATCGCATAAACCGGTAGGTGGGAATCGTTGAAATCTCACCCATTGATGGTAAGCCATTGATGGTTTGGGGCATAGGGTTTACCACATTACGGAAGTATCACTATCCATCTGTTCCTGGGATTTCATCATTGACTATAAACACCTGCGGGAAAACACGCGATAATCAACCAATCCTTGACTTCTGGTTTTCACGGGTGAAGGTTTGGGCTGGCTTTGGAGATACACCTGTCGTGATTCGATGTCAGGATGAGCCTCATCGTCATCGTCAGAGATCTCGTAGTTCTCCAAGTCCAATTCGTTACCCTCCTGGAGTCACTCGGAGACTCGGAGAGCATGGGTAACCCAAAATGGGATGACTTCTAAGACTATTAAGATCTACGTGAGAATCTACGTGAGAATCTACGTGAATCCCAAGGCCTCTAAAATTTTGACTATCGAATTCTTGTCAGCTGAAAGCACAGACTTGTTTATTGATTTTGGTAGATTGCTGAATCACTGAAGGTTCCAGGTTTATTCGCACTTGGTGCAGGATTTGGTCCAACCATCCCATCATCAGTTTGTCCCATCGCGGCTCCGAATCGCTACTGACTTCAGAGGCATCTGCCTGCCACAGAAGGAGCATTGATGAGCATTGCTAGGAAAAAGGACTCAGGATGATCCTAACGGTGATCAATGTTTTCTGTGGTTTTCTGTCACAAGAAGGGTTAGTTGGGTATCTTATCCTTTATCATTCACGAATAGGTATCTCATCTTATATGTACAATATATACATATACAGTGTGTATATATATATATATTGTATATACATATATACATCAAGTGTGTTCGTACAATATCATGTTAAAACATGTTTTATCGTTTATCTATGCTTCTCCAAGTCCACACCGAACCCCTGAGCCTCCTCTGGGATGGCTTCAGCTACCTGCGGAACTTCAGCTGAAGTTCGTATCTTACAGCTGACCATGATGAAGTTCGCCAAAGTGATGCGTGTATATTTATATATGTATAGATATATATATATATTACTATATTTATCTATATCAGTGTTACAGGCAAAAAAGTGAAACCCAGGGGGTTCACATGTCTTTACCACCCGGCTCGTAAAACGAAACACATGTGGTGCAACGATCAGAAATTGGTCCGCCAACGGCGCCCAACCTTTTTCGTCGCTGTGAAACAGAGCGTTGTCCTCAGCTAAGCCATCGACAATCATATCATATTATTAAGTTCTATATTGGCCAACAGACACATTTTCCATTTTCCCTTTTTCAGCAATTTTATGGTCACTGCTGCTGTTCGCCAACAGATGTCCATCCACAAGTAAGAATTCAAGTACCGAGAATCTCATCGATGGCTCAGGCTGACCTATCAACAGGTTGTGGACCCCATGATCTGATCTCCAGCAGATGATCTGCGAACACGTCTGCTGCTGCAGCCTGGGAAATTTGCAGATCTGGAGCTCCCCAAATCTGGTTCCTCATTCTTATGTATTTCGTACCTGTCACTTTGTCCCAGGTTTCACTAATCCTTTCACCGGGCGCTTGCATGTCGCGGGGTCTCCAAGGTTGCATTTCTCCATGAGCATCAACACCAGCTCGCTCTTCTCGATGCATCGCCGGATGTCCGATGGCGCCGCGCCTGCATACCGAAGCTTGCCACGGATGCAAGGGACTGACAGGGTCATCAGGAATTGATATTTGGTCGCAGGGGAGGACTTGGTCTTTGGCGGCTTTGCCGTCGGCTTTGCCGTCACTTTAGGTACTTTAGGTGCCCGGGCGGACTCCGGGGACTCCGGGGACTCCGGGGACTCCTTGGCGTTTCCGGGATTCGTTTCCTTCGGTTTCACCTTCTTAGTCTGAGACCGCTTCCCCTTCAGACCCTTGGATTCCACCGAACCCTTGGAACGCTTCGAATAGCATTCTTTTGTCACAGAATCTAAGGCAAGCCATCTTTCAGCACAAGCTGCTCCCAGTCGAGCTCCACCTGGTTGTAAAAACTCACTTCCAGCTACATCGTTTCGGATCAAGCGAAAGAATCGCAAGAAGCCATGCACATCCGGCAGGCGTTGGTTGAGATCAGCCTCCACAGGCTCTGCCCCCTCCGACGCGCTGGAAATGGACGCAGATTCGGACAACTCCATGGCGTCATCCGGATCTTCCTCGCCTGGCTCCTCGGACGTTGTGGGCGATGGGGGAAACCACAATTCCTTCAATTCTTCGGAGGTCCAGGAGTCAAAGGAGTCATCTTCCAGGTCCGACATCTGAGAATCTGATGCAAAGTGAGGCAGAGCCAAATATCTGCATGGAAAAATATTGAAAGAGAACATGTGAGTTCATGTCAGCTCGAGATCTCAAACACCCAACTCTGAACGAACCTACACCGGTACATTTCCAAAGAATGCACCAGCGGACACGGACACATAGATTTCCCCTTCATGCTTCTGGTCTTTTTATCCTAATAGACTTTACGAATCCAAAATAGTGCCCCAGGTTTAAGAATGTTCAAGATATCTTAAAGATCTATCATAGATATCTAAGCCAATCTCAGCGAATCTAATCCAACTCTGGACGTCTCAAATTTTCATCCCCAGCCCTTTGACTGCTGACCAACCTCTACAGACGCTGCACTTGTAGCATTGTCGTCCTGAACAGCCTGTGGTCCAAAGAATCATGTGGGTAGGAACTGGTAGGCCTCTGGTTTATCACAGGAACAGCTTTAAATTTCAGTTCAAGGACTCCAGTGCACCACTGTCTTGAGAACCCCTCACATACAGCAACTTGATGTATGTAGGGATTGAGGAGGTCTGCCCTCGAAAAAAGGATGGCTTGGGACTAGAAATAAACCAACACACTGACCAACATCTGTGGTCCAGGCTTCAACTCTGCACCATGTGGATAGGAAAAATGATAAATTACGGCAACTATGGGCTGCAAAAGGGCTTTGCAGCCCATAGTTGCCGTAATTTATTTATCATTTTTCCTTAAAAAAAGAGATTCAAGTTCGCTACCTTTCAGCATTTCCACCATCCAATATTGACTTTGGCACCTCAGCCTCTGCCTCCACTCCTTCCTCCGCTTCCTCAGCTTCTTCGACCTCTTCAACCTTTTGTCGAAGTAGGATTGGCTCTGCCTCTAAGAGACTAAACCTCCGGTGAATGTTGATGAACGTTGATTGAAGAGATGTGAATCCCAGACCTGATTTCGCCCCAAAAGATTTGCCGTCCAAGAATGGAAAACCATGGAGAAGCGGCTGAATCACTTCATCCAATGTCGGTTTCCACTGGCTCCGCTTGAGCCCTATCGATTCTTGTTGTGTAATCGACGCACTTCCTATTTAAGAACCAAATAGCAAGCCAATTGTTCAAGCAGCACGTTAAATTAGGGTAGCACCCCAGCGAAGCAACTTTCATTGGGCTATTTGGCCACGGCCCAAAGGGAAGCTCACAGAACCTCTTCCTTCAACTCTTCATTTTCCTTGGGCTCCTCATCCTCCTCATCCTGAAGAGCCAAGATGATGTTGTATGATGTTGAACACCCGTTCTGGCCATGGCTCAAAAATTCCAGGCACCCTGAAACTTCAACAATGGGAAAAATCTGACAAAAAAGGTCGAAATTCTTGACCCATCGCCTCTGAGCTCTCCAGGATCTCCTGAAAAGCGAAGGTGCCATGTCTATGTCAGGTCAATCGCTGGCCCATGAGATCCATGAGACTCTAGACCCTAGGGCCGTCTAGGGTCTTCCTAAACTCAGGGGCCCAGGGTTATTTAGTTTCGAACTTAGAAAATATTATATATATATATTATATATATATTATATATATATATAACACCCGAACTTTAGGGTAGGAGAATTGCCAAATGGTTTTCAAGCACAGTCATTCCAGCCACTTGCCATTGATCCTATCAGGGAGGAACCCCAATGATCGGTCACCCACAAGTTTCTTGGAGAAGGTGCCAAATCATACAGCCAAAGACAGAGGATGGGATGACCCCAGACAATTCAAGACCAAGAACGACCAAATTTGGATGCGAAGCCTCTTTGGTCTCTTTGGTCGCCAGTCTCGTAGCATGACAAAAAAACTTGATCCCTCACGACACGGATATGGTTGGACCCTTTACCAGTAGCTATGCAGGGCACTTGACTGCTGGGATTTCAATGACCAACTGGACAAGGTATCACAAACTGTCCATGAAAGCCGAATGGAAATATATCATCATATATCAAATATTAGTGTATTAGTGGAGAGTTGTAATCTACTAACAGTAGCCTCTCCCATTCTCTCCCACATCATGTTCGTGACTCGGATGAGTTGCCACTGCCCCAAAGGCGACCTGGTATCCTCGTAGCTCTTCTTGGCTCACAGCTTCCAGAACCTGTTCCCAGCGACAGTGTCGCAACACAGCTGCGGATTTGGCTAAAAAGACACCAAAGCCAGGAATACAGTCAGCAACTATGGTCATCTAAGCAGGAAATTGAGATTTATATAATTGACTAAAACAACCATATTACTATCTAGCCAGCCACACCAACTGGCGGATTTAGACCTCCGCCGACATTTCAGTGTCAACTCACTGGGCAAACCTCTTGGATATCTTGGTACTGTATCTTCAGTGTGACCTCAAGAACAAAATACATCTTATCTAAGCAGGGATGAGTGGTCGCTGAATGATGATGATGTCGCAATAGGTCCTATGCATTTAAGCTCAACCTGAAGGGGTGAATTTCGGTGATCAGTTCAAAAGCTTGACCAGCGACAGCACTTGATAACCGATGTCCAGACCAAAACTGCTGATACTCTGATCACAAAATATCACAAATACATATGGATTCTCCATTGTCCTCTACCATCATATAGAGGATTCCCCTTCCTTCTTAATGGGACATCGCTTTTTTCAATTGGAAGCAGCCCATTTTGGTGCCGTCACACCTCATCTTCGGAGAGCGACTCATCAGCTTCAGGCGCTGCAGGCGGTTCTGGTGCCTGGTGGCCCAGTTGGTATCCAAGGGTATCCCTATGAATAAAAAGAAGGTATCTGAGAATCCCCGCTTCAGCTGCGGGAGTTTCATCTGGAACATCCTGTGAATCTGTTTCCTTCGCCTGGTGCCAACATCAGAATGGGAAAAGAGCAAAACTCGGCTGGGTGTAGGATTTTCGTTGTGCTTCATGTGGGGATCGACCAAGTTGTGCAATGTCCACAACATTCAGAAAAAGCGGATCTCGCTACAAAACAGCTGTCAAGGACACGTGTTTACATACATGTAAGTATCTTTATCCAGTCATGCATGTATGCATGTGTGTGTGTACATATAGCTTTAATTTTATGTACAACAATGATAGACATGTATAGGAACATTCACTTTCACTTTGTCACGCAAAGAGATGGCACCAATGTGTCCGAATCCTAATCGAGGTGCATCCCAAGCTACTCTACCTGACATGAAATCACAAACCATCACACCATAAATCTTGATGTAAACTCATGGGGAAAAAGTCAAAAACAGCAAGAAAAAAGTCAATCGACCATTTATCCTATATAGTGTGTATATATACATATCATATCATATATATGTAATATATATATATCATATATATATATATATTTATCACATATATATATATGTGATATAGAAATTCTCTGCATGGTGGCACTTCCAGCTTCCAATGGAAAGGTGGCTCGCCTCGGGTGGATCGTCAGGCTTTGGTCGCCGGTATCTGTTGACACAAATTACTGCCTGCCGGCACGAATGGATTGACCCACCCCTAAGACCCTAAGAGGATGTAAACAATGATGATGAGATCAAGAATGATATAATATATCTATAATTATTTATGTTATGTTAAGAAAAATAAAACTCATGACACTACTGGTAATGAGAATAATTGTTGGAATTAAGAGAACAACAGAAGGAAACAAGGATGGGAATTGGAATAATCATGAATCATGATAAGATTATCTATATAAGTCTATATATATATACATATATATATATATTTACATATGATTTGTAATACTCTTGTCATTATCATAGGTAGTACAGTAGAACCAGATCTTCCGAACTCTTTCAGGAGAGACCTCCGATGTCAACATCTCCAAGGAGTTCACCAAGGGATCCCCAAGCCCGCATGGTTCGCACCCATTCCATCCACTTTCAAACGTAGCCACTTCACCCAGCCGGCATCATGGCGAAGCGGCCAAAAGGACAAATCTCAGTCGGCTGTCCTACCCCTGGATGATATCTATGGCTGATATCTATGGATCAAGCTTCAGATGGTTACCATTGGTTGCCTTTCGCACCATTCAAAAGACCTGGTTTTTGATGTTTTCAACCCATTCCGGCTTCAGACTGTGGTTCTGCACTGAAAAAATACTGGCACCTCCGGTCCCTGTTTCGCTGTCAGACTGTTGTGTTGTCCTCATACTCTTTGTGGCACAATGTGGCACAAGTTTCAATAGGTCTGACGGCCAACAAGTCATGGATTGTTGTTATGCATGGTTGTCATCCAATATCCTTGAGCAAAGCAAACTTGCGCGTTTTTTGTTTTAAGACGTACGAGAGAGGTAGTGCTATTGAAGATGTTTGGTTTTCAGACCCAGTTTTGCCACTAAATTGTGTCGCCTTACAACCAGGTTGGTTGGCTGTTTTCTTAGATTTCAAGATGTTTCAAGCTTATCCGTTGTTCATGCGGGACAAAGCCAACCTGTTATCACTTCAGCCTGCTCAACCTCAAAGACGAAGCAGGACTGCCCGTGCACACTCGATATGACATCGTTCAACCACCATTTCTGATTCGAAGTTGAATCAAGCTGTAGCTGCATCGAAAAGTCGAAAATAGAGCCAGTCATGCCAGTGATTTGAAGCAGAAGGGTGACGGCAAAATAAAAATCGCCCTGGGAACACCGACATGTCAATTGACATGACATAAACTTCAGAAGGAGGTGCCAGCTCATGTGCATGATGCTGCATGTATCATAATTGACAAAGATCATTCATTTTGCATCACCGAAAATCCTGCAAGGAGATCCGGGTTTGCTAGACCTCTTGTGTCGTACGGTTGGTGGTAGTGCAGTGGCTCAAACTAAAGGCAAACCCTCATGGTGTTCAAGTCATAAGTGTGGTGAGAGTATTTGACCATGACCGTTCATGGCCCAAAACTTCAACTCCATCCCCATGTGCGGTCCTTTTTTTTCCCAGGAAACGGGAGTCGAACAGAATCCATTCGATGTCCACAGGTCTCCTCGATGTCCACAGGTCTCCCAAGGCCAGGTCTCCTCGGCCACGGAGCCGCCCCACCAATCAACGCGTCACTTGGATCACTTCGACATGTCAGGTCCTGAAGCTGCGATCGTAGCGGGTCATGATATGACTCAATGGCTGCTTGGCTTTGAGCTTCCCAAAAGTTGAAAACGTACACAGTGGCGTGATAGATTGTACATGCTGATTTCTCAAGAAATTACTGTGCACCCCCTTCCCCAAGAAAAAACAACATGTCTACCCTGAGCAATGAAATTGCAGAAACTTATCATGTTGGGACTACATTTCTTGTTGCGACCCTTTGTGGCCTCCTTCGCTTTCCATCTGTTGTGCCGAGAGTAACCTCGAATGCCAGTTGGGCATGGGTGGTTCAAATGCATAATGGCGGTATCAAACTGAGGAAAATTCACCATTTGTAGTAGATGCTCTTTTCCTCTTAAACATGCGTTTTTTCAACTGCCAAAACCTCATCGAGCTCCCCATCTGAATCCAAAATCCTAGCACCCCCAAAAAGATGTCGAGGGAGTTGAGCACGTTGAGACGTCCCGCGCAAAAAAAAAAACAGGTCTTGCAATGTCTTGCATCTTGGTGGCGAAGTCTTCCACTTCCTTGCCACAGGCCTGTCAGGATCAATCCTGCTGGCCATCCTTCGAAATCATGGGCCATGTAAAACATGTTCAAATCGTTTCAAAAGTTTGGGGATAACTGGGATAACTGGGATAACTACCAACCCACAATGGCTGGTGCCTCGCAGATTTGCAAAGCTGATGTTGCCAGTTCCACAGCAGCCTGAAGATCCGTAGTGGCAAAAGGAAGGATGTGATTTCATTTTTCTTCCTGCGGCTGGTCACACGTGCCAATGTCAAGTTACATAGTAACTACATGGGGTGCGGTCATCCCACCATCAGGAGTGGGATTTCTAATTAGTTGCTATATGAAGCCCTATGAAGAGGCCTTTATGAGAAAATAAACCATGTTTTGACCATGGCAGGTATATGTTTTCATATACAGCACATATCGTTGAATATACATATCCCCACACTTCTTGCTATGTCATAACTGTTGCTGTCTGGATCTGCCTATATCCCCTGATGACGTCGTGATGGTTGCTGCGATTCTAACGTTCCAGTGCTTGTGGGTACCAAGACCCAGAGCGCCTGAGAAATTACACAGCCACCTCAGGGGCGCAACTCTCCAAATCCGGCAGGCTATCAACCTATCAACCCACTTTAGGAAAATCATGGAAAATCCTTGGTTTCATCACTTGACTCACTTGACCAGTTGACAAGCAAAACCATCCCCACCCATCCACAGTCCATGGGTTTTCCATGGCTTTTCAGGGGAACTTCGACCATTTCCAGGTCCCCCAGCAGGGTCGCAGGATCCTGGCGCTGCGCTTGCCGGCGGCTGAACCCAACTCGTCGCCTGGGCAACGCGTCATGAAATAGGGGTAAAGAATATATGTCTTTTATAGGTTTTTGAGGGTTGCTATGGGGTTACTAATGTTACTATATAATGCACTTCTACTGGATTCCCTCTGGAAATAAACGAAGATAGCTCAATATCCACTTCCAAACCAAATCTGGCGAATAGCAAAATCCTGGTCACGACTGCTGTACCATCTGGCCATCTGGGAGGGCCTCACCTTTTTTGGATGACGCACTGAGCACCCCCACCAGTGATGGGACAAAGAAATAGTCCGTCTTTCCGCCTCGGCTCGAGTCGAGGCGAAAAACACTAGAGGCCAACAAAGTCACAAAAATCGAGAAACTAATCTGTGGCTTGGTGCCTTGACATTTATAATATTGTGATATATCATCATCCCTTCTTGGTGCCATGAATAATATTGATCATCATGATGATGAATTGAAATATCGTCCCTTCTCCCGTTTATCCCGGCAAAAAAAAAAAACACAGTTGCCTCAAGTTGCAGTCAAAGACATCTCGGCGCGACTCCACGTGGGACAAATGCAGAGGTAACTTGGCAGCGTGCAAGAAGTCAAGCTTGTCAAGCTTACCATCCAATCAAGTCAATCAAGTTTGGTACATGGCTTCCAGCAAGCTCTTCACCAAAGGTTTCTAAGCAAAACCAACCAGAATAACGGTGGCAGAGCAATGTCGGGAGCCTTGAATCGGCTGCATCACCCACATGGCTTGAACTGAGTCCAATTGGTTCAGCTGGCCACGCATGCGTCACTGCCAAGAAACTCTCTTCTTCAGCAGTGCCAACAGGAAATCCTGTGTCAGCTGGGATGACATGGCTCAAACTTTGAACGTGAGGACCGATTCAAAAATCCAAAACATACTTATCCAGTTTCTTTACATTGGTGTATCTAAACACAGGGGATCCTTCCATTGCTTCAGTGTCAATAATATTGGCACATGTCCATATCCCGCTCCAGCACCCACTTGACCCCATGTGTTTTTGTTCCCATGAATCTGGAGTGCAGCTACGAGAGACTTTCGTTGAGTAGACCCCATAAGCTGTGCAGAATGAGCAGAAGAAGATCAAATTTGTTGGTTATAGGACTTGGGTGGTCTCCATCTTCGGACAAGCCCACTGGGGGGATATCTGCAGTCAGCGAATGCTTAGCAGATCGGGCATATCTGCTTACAAGTTGGATATAGATGATATATTGAGGATGTATAACCCTCTCAACTTCAGAGATCATGTGGACATTCACCCCCAAACCTGTCCTCTTTCAAGAAAAGATTCCCTTTCATGTCGCTCACAACCTTAGTGACCCATGTTTACGACCAAATCAGACTTTCAAGATGTCTTTGGGTCAAAATTTGAAACTCCCAAAGTCGCAGGATTCCTTTGAAAATCAGACCATTGGTCGCTAAACAAAAAAGGAACAAAAAGGGTGCCAAAGTTGACCCCCAACTTCAGTTACACCACTTGGCATTCCGGGCCGGACCAGACAATAGAGGCGCATGACTCAAGGCGCAGCGAAGCCTTGAACGACAATGATCCATGATGATCCATGATGATCCACTGGAATTGGGGGGTACACCATTTTCAAACTCAAATCTGGAAAGCCCATTGAAGTTTCATGTCATCTTGAGCTGGTGGCCACCGTGGCGTTTCATCATCTTGGAACGGATCATCTGTCACTGGACGCGGCTGTTTGATGAGGTCATCCCTGCCATTGATGATCGATTTCGGCCTGGCATTTGATCGGTGAAATGATGAGAAAGCCACCTATGAAAGCTCTTCTGCATCAGGAATCGTTCTGTATTTCTGTATGGAACAGTTGTTGGTATCTGTGGAGAGTTGTCCCAAGCATCTCACATCTGGCATATCAACTTTCCACCAATCTTCATGGGATCTTTGACTCCACAGCGCCTCGAATACCATTCTGTGCCCACATCACTGAATGACATGCGCGGTGCAAGGCCGTGGAGAGTAGGACATCCTGTGGCCAGATGTTGATTCTTGAAGTCGATGATTCCTGGCTTTTGTCATTTGTCTGTATTGTAACAGGTAGGGCTTGGGTTGCCTTTACCGACTGGTGGAACTTTCATACAGTCCGAAGCCACAAACAGAGCACATCACTGACATAGCTGATCAGAAACACATCCTTGAGCCCACGATTGTGCAAGACTTCCAATGCAGGGCAAGTTTTCTGCTCGACCGCATGGAGTGCTGCAATGTGACGATCACATGGTGAGTGTGTCGACCTAAATCCAGCAGCGAAGGGTCTGCATCTTTTCCCACGCCGCACTCGTGCACATCCTCTGAGACTCCAAGGATCTCTTTGTCAAAGGTAGCAGTGCTGGCAGTGGCCATTCCAGTTCACCCTCGCTTCATGGCGGATCGTCATGTCACTTCACAGTGACTTGCACTGGATGTAGGCAGACACTATCCTCCAACAGAAGGCCAACGGCTGAACCAAACTGCTTGACCAGGTGCCCCATATCAGGGCTGTCAGGGCTGTCAGGGCCTCCGCCTCATCCTCTCCCTGCCTGGTTCCCTTCTCGGCTCATGGTGTCAAGATGTGATTTTCTGGTCTGGGGCACGGATGTCTACCCCAACAGCTGCTGGCTATGCCTCGGCAAACTGAACGAAAACGATGGAACAATTATTCCTCTCTGAAAACGTCTGAAGATTGCTCGGATCCAACACACTTCGAGAAAAGAGTCAGCAAACAGCCTGGCAGTTTCGCCCACACCCTAAAATAGATAGTTAGAAAAGATATGGGCGGGCAAAATTTGTTTGACCCACAGAGAAGTAGTTACCTGATGTGCACATCAATGGCGTTGGATGTCAACCTATATTTTTTGTCTTTTGTCCTTCTGTGCTCACACCGAAACGCCAACTTCAAATCACATGACAGGTGCACAGGGAATGGCACAGAACGGGCCACCACAGGCCATACTCCTAGAGAAGTAATGAAGAGTGCAGCCACAGAACATGTGAAGTTCATCTGCAGGGAAGGCATGATTCACCAGCAACTGTAAGAATGGCACCTGACACACGGTGATTCCATGCGTTTGCCGATGGAATCCAAAGCCACTTCTGCGACAAGAGCATCACTTGCGACAGTTCGTGGATCAGCATAGTCACCAGTCACGACAGTTGTTTGATTTTTTCTAAGGCTTCGTGAAAAAGTGTTTACATTTTGAGAAGAATCCTTACCATTCCTTACCATCATACAGTACAGTATTCCCCAAGAAGCCCTGGTTTAGTGGCCTCCATCAGCAAGAGGAACGCATGCATGCGCCTTGTGGCACGGGGAAGATAAAACCCCATACCACTGACCCCAAAATGGCTGCAGCACTCATGCCTCGCACATTTATGTATAAAGATATGCGCATTTTAGGGTATAATTAATAATAATATGTTAAGTGTGGAGTGTGGAGTGCAAAGTCTAAAGTGTAGAGTGCAAAGTGTAAATTTTAGAGTGAAGTGCAGTGTGTTTCGCCTGCTACCAAAAATCCAACTCATCTTCTGAAAACGACGCAAAAGTATCGCACCTGTCACACAGAACGAGTTTCGACAGTTTTTCAGACACGAGAATGTGAGGAAGTGCCACCCCTGCCACGCAAAACGACATGACAACCTGACCTGCTTTCACGCCTTCAAAAAGAGAGGTTTTGCAGCTTCCCCCATAGACACGGCAAGGCCACAGGAAAACCAGAGACTCGAGACGAGACATGTTGGAGCCTCAAAACGACCATTTCGTGCGAGACTTCCTCCAATTTTCACACTTCGTAGCTTCAAAATCGACGTTTTCCTACCCGTTTTCTCATGAACCTCAAAATTTGCGACCTCAAAATCGATGTTTCGCGCGAAGCTTCCGTCAATTTTCAGCACATCTCAGTAAATGCCACGCTCGCCACCCAATTTGCACGTCGTCCCCACTTCACGAAGCCCTGACAATGCGATTCGCAAAAAACACGCAACATGACACGTCTAAAGTGCTGCAGCCGCCACGCAAAATGACGATGGAGGTAAAAGTGCTGCGGAAAACGCAACTCATCTTCTTGAAGCGACGCAAAAGTATCGCACCTGCCACACAGAACGATTTTCAACATGTTATGAAACCATGTTGGACTGTCACGAAGTGCCACGCCTGCCACTCAAAACCTACGCGGCACTTGAGACCTCCAAAAGTGACCACTTTTGCAGAACTCGCCATGGGCACAGCCATACGGGCCTCACGCGACCGCCCGTGGACGGTTGCGGTTGCGAAGGGTTGCGCAACATCGAGCGAACACACCTCAACCCCCAGACCCCCAGAGTGAAACGGGAACCCTTGCTACGTATTCGGGAAAAACACATTCCACGGCATTCCTTGGACTTCCCGCTTTCAGCGCTGCCCAGTGACAGAGCAGCATCTGCGGCACTGAAAACGCGGCTGGGGGGTAGGTCTACCAAATGCCAACGGAACACCCACGCCAGCAGAATCTTCTGCACAGCTGACCTGAGTCCACCATGAAGGCCATGGGGAAGGGAGTACACCATAGCGGAACAAACCCCTGATCGCTGGTCTGATCCCCTGGATTCTCCTGGTGTAAAATATGTCAATTGGATGAAATAATGAACCACTCCCTATCCATTCCCTATGCAATTGACATATTTCACTATCAATTGCAATATCTTCAAAGCATTCCCTATTCATTCCCTCATTGCTAGCCTGATCTGCCGATGTCCAAGGCACAGGATGATCAAAGCCTTGATGGACAAGAACTTCAAAGTGGTCTGGTACTTCTTCAAAGACTTCCTGGAGCGGCTGGGTCGGTGCCTATATGTGCCTATTGGAGACCCCAAATCTGGATGACCTGAACATTGGCAAATGCAAAGTCACAAAGCATTTCAGATTACAAATGCTCTGGCCAGCGGATGGTCAATATGGCACTCTGACATTTTTTCGCCTGAAACAAAGGATTGAGCGCCTTAAGCACCGACCTTAAGGCTTCAGGGGCCCAAGCCAACTTGCAGCCCAACCATGCCCAACCCAAGCCAGGTCTCTTCGTAGCATGGTATAGTGCAAAAAGCGCCTGGGCCCGACATACATTGCAGCGACCTTGCAGTAACCTCAAAGGATCTCAAAGGAATGTTAGGTAATGACGGCAATCATATGATAATATAGAAATTATATGATAGCATGCGATACCATTTCCCGAATGTGGTGATGTGACATACTGCGGGCTGGTATATGAATGAAGTAAAGATCTTTCTGTGGACATTGTTCTTTGGTGAAATCAAGATTGTCCTTTACTTGCACAACCGCAGTTCAATTATTCCCAAGTCGCCACTATCCAATGGCTTAAATTGTGGTGCTAGTTTACCTTCATCCCCCAACATTGGCTGGACTTGCAGCACCACTGCACCCCAGCCCGCCTGCAGGCAAATAAACATGGACACCAGCCGCAGCACTTGCACGCTACCCTGCAGCGCGCGAACAACGGGTTCAATCAAAGAACCAATTTGGCAGACTGCTGAGACTGCAAATCCCGAGATGTACAGAAATCTTTAAAGGAAACCCACCCAGTTCTACGGTTCCCCAACTGAACTTGATTTTTTCGTACAAAAAAAAAAGATAAAAAAAGCATCTCTTTTAATCCAATGACCCACCGCACTGTCCAAGAATTGTAATCCGCAGTTGCGGTCGAGTGGCCACCCAAAAATCCATGTGGATCTGTTGTTGTTTCTCTTGCCACTGAAGGATACCCTCGACAAAGGCTGTCAGCGGCGTCACATAGCAATACTGCTCAATCATAAACCTCCCGGTGAGGTTGCGTCCAAAAATGCCACACATATCCAGCCCTGATATCCCTGATATCGGGTCCCAAGAATCTCTTGTCTTCCAATAATTACTTAAGTTGACCCTCAAAATGGGGGAATCTTGGGGTTTCAACACTTATGGACTGACCATCGCAACAAACTTGCATTGTTCCTCACACCTGCGAGCGTCAGATTGATTGCATCGTTGAAACTACTCAGATTCCCGCAATTCGGAATTTCGCCACATCGCAACCATGGCACCCATGGCAACCCATAAACAGCTCGACCTCATTTTTCTCAGGGTCGAGAAGTCAAAGGTCTTGTTGCCGTCCTGCAGGCAGGGCGTCAGTGGCACCAAACAGCAGCATGGAGGCACCTGGCCCGGCGACACCCTCTCGAGGCTGGTGGGAACGCATCAAGACTGGGTACCCAAACCCAAGTAGTACAATGGTTCATTGAAATTTGAATACATTTTAATGATCCAAAGAAAGACTATACTGTAATCCTTTGTTCCCAAGGTCTTGAACCTATCCCGACGGAAAAAATGTGGCGCTAAGCCGCTCGCGTGCAAATACGCCCAAGCCCATCCCTCAGCCAAGTTGCGCACCATCTGCTGGTGCCGAAGCTGCCATGAGCTTCACAGGAGGCCAATTTCTGTACCGTGGCTTCCTGCACGGCCATCCAAGCGCATAGATTGGGCATAGTAGCATAGTATGAATCAACAAAAAATTGAAAATAACGACCAAGACTTAGGTGGCAATTAGACCCGCAAAAGTGTCAATTTGGGGGCCCGATCATTTTCAGGCCACAACCAGGCATGAAATGATCCAAACTGTCTAGAAAATGGTCTGCACGTGAGCTGTATTCCCTCGGCTCCTTCCCACCCATGAGACACACGATGGTCAGCCCGAAGTAGTGGAGGGCCACAGCTTCCCAGATCTCCTGTTGCCAAATCGCCATCTTCGAGGATTGATTTTGTCCATATGTTTACAGCGAGTCAACTTTGATGCATACCGGGCCTCAAAATCGACTTCCTGCACACAGCCTTGCCAAACCTACAGAACCATACCTACTGATCAATTTTGATGCTGTCCGATGGCAAGGTTCCTGCAGCACCAGCGTAGCTGCTGCTACAGTAGATAAGGAGACCTGCCAAATCAGCTAGTCCAAATCTTGATGATGTCGTGGGAACTGCAAGGTTCGAAAAAACTCTATATACCTTCAATTGATTCAAACGAACTAGTCAAAACATGTTCAAACATGATGTCCCAGCAAAGCAAATGCATTGGGTCATCGGATTGGGATGTTGACTTTGCACAGAGTCATCCATTCTTCAAATACCTCCCTTGCTTTGAAGAACAGCAAAAGCCTCAAGGCAGCAAGCCACAGCCACTACCAGCGGCAGCAAATGCATCAACTGGTAATAGTGTGCACGATCGCTGGCTTCAGCGCGATACAGTTCCCTGGCGGTATCGGCGGTATCGGTGTCAACATGGCCAGCCCGACTACACTGACATGAGCTGGTGCGGGGCCAAGACGGGTACCAAAGCTACCACAAGTGTCAGAGCAAATGTCAGAGTCAGGGCATTTTGTCTCTTCAATACTTTCGAACCATACAATCTAAGGGGCCAAAAAGGTGGTCAATGAAGGGCATCCAAGTCAAGATGATTCTTGCACGGCTCTAGCTTGGTGGAGACCTTTTCAAGATTATGTGTTTTTGTTGGCTTGTCTTCGCATGCCAAGCGCTAAACAACTTTATGGAGAAAAATGAAGCATCATCTTGATCTTGGTACTCTACAGTGCATGTAGCTATGGAAGGCACCTTTGATGCACCAACGCAAGGACCGTGGACAGCAACAACAATCCAATGGCCACGAACACACCAACGAAGTAGCGCTCCCGATCCTCCTCACATCAGCAGGTGATGGAATGCAGCGTACCAATGTCAAAAGACGGCTAGATTCAACCGGGTTTGAACAAACAGAGGGTGTACCCTATGAAAATGCAGTTTTCATCTGGAACACGATGATCAACCACCCCATGTTCAGACAAATTCAACTTCAGGAGTTTGACGGATCTTAGAGGTACTGTGCCTGACCGTTTGTCTCTGCTCAAAGCACAGGACTTCCTGACGAAAAACTATTCAACCATCCATCCTCCTAGTCTGCCCAAGACAAGACTCTTCGCAAACCAGGCCAACAAAGCTTCAACTATTCACCACAATGCGAAAAATACAGTTAAAAACAGAAACCTAAGCAAAAAAAGGACAAAAATTGGCAGAAAATTCAAAGAACATAAGAGAAAATAAGCGGAACATTGGTGAAAATGGGGATACAATTCTCAAAAACAATAAGACAGTTGGAACAAAAATATACAAGGCAAAAGAAGCGATAAAATATTGATGAAAGTTGGAAAGAAAAAGGTTGAGAAAACAGAGAAGAAAATGAGAAATAAAATAGAGAAAATGAAGAAGACATTGTGAAGAAAACAGAAAGTAAACAGAAGGAAGAAAACAGGGTGGAAAAATAAGGAAATATGTGGAAGAAAATGGTGAAGAAAATACGGAAGAAAAAGGGAAACAAATTGGGGAAGAAAATAGGGAAGAAAATAAGGAAAACATATGGAAGCAAAAAGGGAAGAAAATAAAGAGAACATAAGTGTGAAGACTTACACTGTCTTTCTTTGCTCTTGGATCTCTCGCTCCACCTGCTTAGAATCCCGAATTTTGGAATCTCGCCGAAGGCCCTCCCATTCAGCCTCATCACCATGGACAACGATGTCCCAAATGTGCGGCAAAGATAGAACCTGCTGCAAGTCCGCCATCAACACCCCGATTGCATTCTGCAACCCTGCCAGCCCCAACAATCTTGAGCCTGGCTTGGTTCTCAAGGGTCAAGACAACATTGAATAAAAGGCTGCACATGATTCTGGATATTGGATCAAGAACCACAGCACCCAAAAAATTGCGACTTTTTTGCCGCACGCCAAAAACTAGCAACACGGTGCAACATTAAAATTGCCTCTCCCGCCGATCTCCGGGTGCGCACTCTGCAAACCACCCAGCTGCCAAGAAAACTCTTTTGTCGCATCAAACCACTGACCTCTCCTCCCTGATATTCCAAACAACTGCAGGCTGAGGAAGCAACTTTTCTTGCAGGAAATGCTTGACAAAAGATTCTCAACCAGGGTCAACCAGGTAACCAGGGAGAGCTATGACAGCAGCGCTCTAATGTGAAACTGCCGCAATGCCTGCAGTGCATGGGTCAAAAACAGCTGCCCTCCTCACTTGATCCATATCTATCCATATCTGCGAAACGTTGCCACAGAGCAGACTCACCTCCCAAGTCTGCACAGTTGTCCAGCGAATGACACTTCTCATGCAGCCAAGGGAAGATGTAGCTGGAGGCGACTGCTAAGTCTTGTTAATTACATCTTTCCAGTTCGAAGTCATGTATCTTTCTGCTCGTCATCAACATATCATGACCACACCTCTTACTCAAAAGTCCACACAGCGGAAGAACTGAGGCAAGATTGCGTAGGCTTGAGCCCAAACATGTGAAAGGTTCGGCTCTGCTTTTCTTTCAACTTTCTTGTGCCATTTGGGCACCGTTCTGGCAACACTGAGCATCTCTCTCTCACCAAAAAATCTGAGCTGTTTTGCAAACGAACCTGTCTGCTGACTTCCAAATACGTAGCGGACGTCGCAGAGAAAGGTCAAGATGCGATACATCAAGGCATATTCATGTTCATGTCTTGTTCACGATAGCCGTCAGAAGCTTGCTGTCTGCGATGAGAAAACGGGCAATGATCGTGACTCTCGGAAGGTTTCAAGAAGTTGCTGGGGAGCACAGAAACACCAAAGTCCGGCAGGGGGGGGAGCCTCGGGAGGAGCCTCTCAACCACTGCACTATGTGGCGGCCCATGGACCAACCCATGGAGATAGTTTTGGCGAATCGCAGAGTGGAAGCAGTTGATGTTCGGGGTGCACGTCCTCTGCTCACGCTGTGCCCTGTAAGGGTGTTTGTTCGCTTCTGTGCTGCCGCTCAAATCTTTCACATGTACGATATCGACACGATACAAGACGGTCCCGACCACAACGTACAAACCGTTGATAACAGAGGAGTCCTTACAGGCAAAGAACCACCTGTATCAAAGTGGCCTCTGAGTCAACGTTTGCTTTGTTTGTTCCGCTGGTGAGATTCTACCATATTCGTATTCAGAACCCACTACATAAAGGAAGAGAGAAGTAGCGTAAAAACAATGTGTCTCTAGACAAAGCTTCTGCGAGATTCCTTTGGAGAAGGAAAACATTGATCTTCTTCCTTAGTATAAAGTCTTTTGACATAAAGGAAAACATTGCAATGCAAAGCAAAAAACAGATTCTTGTAGATTCTCTAACTTATTTGAGCAAGCAAAATATCAGCAGCAAGGCATTGAAGATGTTCTGCGTTGCTTCAAAACCACAAGTACAAACTCCAAATATATATATATATATACGCAGAATATTTAGATTTATACATAAATATCTATATATATATACATAATATATACATTATATAAATACATTATTTATATGTTTTTTACATTTATATTCTTGATTTAATTATCTATTTAAATATCATTGAAATCAGTATAGGGCATGACCAGTGCGTCAATGCTTCAGGCACATCATATGATTCGTATGATGCACGTGTTTGGATTTCAACTCCAGGGGCGGATTCCGTATGTCGCTTACATTCATTTGTTTGAATAAATAGTACTTAAAATCCAATACATAGCAAATCAATGTATTTCTTATATACAATTTTGACTTTTTTCTAAAACTTGATAGATATGTTTGATATTTCACAATTTTTACTTTGTAGTTTCGTCACTTCTGAGCAAGCTGTTCCTTATCCAATCGACGGGGAAAAAAACATGAGTTGAACTCCAAGCGGTTTCGAAATCGACTGCACGTCTGTTTCCGAAGCCATTTCGTTTGCCAGTCATGTGCTGCTCTGGCCAAGGTGCTCATTTGGTTGGCGGCCGGATATCCGCAGTCCACGAGCAGATAACTCCTGCGTGGTTGTGTGCAAGTTGCTCGAGCTGGGGGAGACATGGATCATCTAATTCCTGCACCATAACGGCTGTTTAGGACATGTCTGCACCACAGATTCTGGAACTTCGTCAATACTGTCGCAGATTCCTCCAGGATGCAAGCTTTGTAGTCCTGACAGAAACAACATGAAACAACTGGAGGATCTCAGCAGAAACTTCACAGAATTTGTCTGACACCTTCACTGCTCAAGAGTCGGCCCGTGGTCGATCAATGCCTCGAACTGGTCATCGCAGGGATTGTTCAGCTGGTGCCTCAAGAAGCCCTTGGCAGTGCAATCGTCTGACCACTGGCATTTCACGGTCAAAGACGAAGCACAAATAAGCCGTCACCATCACCATCAGGCCATGACTATCAAGCCTACAGTTGCCATCATGCCATGCCGTGGCTTGTTCGCCCCAACAAACTCCAACAGCTTTTCCGCGCCGGCCATAAGCTCGGTATCTCTGCAGCAGCTCTGCTGCTTCGGAAGCCGTGAGAGCAAAACAGCCCCGCACGGGATCCAGGCGATAGAAGTGTTCCTGGACCAGCCAAGCACTGAAGAAGTTCTGAATTTGAGGATCTCCGTAGCTTGAAAATCCATCAATTCAATGTTTGATTTGGATTTGGCTTTAAGGGGTCCTATTTTTTTGGGTTTCCCGTTGTGCCACATTCTCGGGCTCCATCTGCCGTACACATGTTGCATTTTGACCCTGGAGAAAGAAGTGATCTGCTGAAACTGCTGTTTTCATTTTCTATGACTGGAGCAAAAGTAAAGAAAGGATACCAAGCTGCTTAAGCTTCCAAATGTACCACTGATATCAACTTATCAACCTTACACTTTGTCAGTTTCCCGAGCCTTGCCACGGCGTAGGGCATACCAGTGCCCTTTCGCAGAGTTGTCCATGAGATCAACCATTCCATGGATGGAAAATAAAAAATGTTTGAAACTTTGAAACCAACCAATAACTGGATGTTTCCTGAAATGGGGGTACCCCCAGTTTTAGGGTAGCCCCACTTTAGGAAACCCCCAACTTCGTTCAAGATTGTTCAGACTTTCTGCGCTGCACGTCTTCCACACTTATGACTCGATGACACTTCCTTCCACATCACAGGACGTGCCTTTGGCATCAGCAGTCACTTGCCCCGGGTTCTCGTAAACCACCAAACCTCAGCGACTACTGTAAATTTGGGTCTGAAAATGGGTGTCCCAAAAATCTATATTGGTTAGTCACCATCTTCCCCATGGCAATGTTGGGGGGTATATCACATTTTAAGACACACCCATTGCGGCTCCTCACCCAAGGCCTTCTCCGGCTTCAATCTCCAGAGTAGTCCTTCCAGAGAAAGACATCTTCAGCTGGGGTTTCTCCACTGTTTGGGTCAAGATCAGGGACCTGCAAACCTATTAGCATATTGGATTATGCTATATAGGCTATACCTCCCGAAGTTGACCATGAAAATGGTGCGGGAGTTTGGAGGGACTGGATGGAGAACTTTCACGCAGCTCCTCAGCTCAAAGAGCGACTCGACCCACTTGCTGTGCCTGATCCCATAACCCTCAATGCAATGGTGAAGGGAAGATCTTTAGGACACATTGGGAAACGTCCAAATATAGATGTTTCCTGAATATGTTCTCTTCGACCAATTTTGGGATACCTTTCTCGGGAGTTCTTGGGGCTTGCAGCACCTTTTGGTGGACCCATCGGGGGGATGGAGATACTTAAAGTATCTTAAACTTATTTTAAATCACCAACTGGCAGTTGGTGCCAAAAGCCCAGCGATTAAGATTGAAAAAACAGGAGCCCATCTGTGGGTTTCTGCTGTTGTGGCGCTCTTCATTGGGCACTTCGATGTCGAAGCCAGCCATTTTGACCTAGGGCGGTAGGTTCAATGTGAAGTTGTTGCCTTCATCAAGAAGCCTTTGTTACTTGAAGTCAGCGTGAGAACTGTTCAAAACTCATGGCACAGTGCATGATAAGCACTACAAGTCACATGATTTGGAAAAAGCTGCAACACAACAGGAATGCAAAAATTGACAAAATCAACAGCAAAACTTCGGACTTCACAACTTCGCCTTCACTCCCGAAACTCCACAAATCTCCTCCACCCTTGCGAACCCGTGCCAGAAATATCTAGATTCTCTTGGCTGAGTGGCTGCTTGCTTGAGGCATTCTTTTGCATCGAAGTCAAAGTCTACTCCATCCTGTTCAGCAGGTCAGTACCCAACCCGATCTGCTGACTAGCATCTTGGAATACAACACAACCATTGGGTGCCAGCCGCTCTGTGCAGCAAAACCATGCAAAACTGGGAAGGTCAGCACCCTTCCCTAAGATCATCAAATGCGGCCCTCAAATCCACCACAATTCATGCTCTACTTTGATGCCAAAACCAGTGGATGTTAGGACGCCGTCCGAAAGTTCCTGACGCCTCCCCCGCCTCTGGCACTGCCAAATGCCCCAAGCCATCCGGGTGCCGCGCCACGCGGCGTCTGGCAGCGAGGGCAGTTGGATCTGTCGCTGCTGATCCGGTCCAAGAACGAAGCAGCACTGCAATGTCCTCAGGAAACACTTAAGGGCCGCAAAATGGTAATTTTTGAAGATTCAATATTAAACCATCCAATATCAGCCAATGTTTGAAGGCATTGATCATTCTGACACCTTGGCATTTGCAAAAAATCTTCTCCGTGGCCTCTGGGCCCCTCAACCGTGCGGTGCAAAGGATCCTTGTGTCCAAGTTGTTGTGCCAGCTGCTGTGGAGCCAGGCCAAAATGATTCACAGTTTGCTCCGCATTATGTCGCAGCAGGGCGCAACAAGCCTGGGGGCCAGTGAACCCACAGATTGATTGGCCCATGTTTGGGAGTAGAACCATGTTGACCTGCCACGACTGATCCACCAAACACTATCCTGCCCATCAGCAACAGCCACATCTGCAAACCATGTCGCCTCGCTGTGACCTGTGCGAGCACAGTGATGGAGAGGTGTGTCCTGAGGCAATTCACAAAACCAACTCCCAATTTGTGCCCCAAGGCCATGACCCAGCCCCATTGCAACTTGGTTATCACATGCTATACCGCTCTAATCACTGATCATCGTATACCTGCAAGAGACAAATATGTCTCGACTTGGTGTCAAAACTGTTCAAAGTGCCTCAGATGCTGAGTTTTTTTTCGCTGTTTGCAGTGTTTTGCCAACATTAAACTAAATGGACAAACGTCTACCGAGAGTCTCCCCGCTCATCTTTGGAGCTCAAGAAAGGACGACAGCCTGAACGGAGATGCATCTGCTCTATCTCCAAGATCAAAAGGTATTGTCAAAAACATCAACAACGCGTCATCGTCATTGTTTGCTCATGTGGAGATCGTTTGGCTCGATTTGTGTGGAAGCACAAATTTGGCCGGTCTGCTTCCTGGAAGGAAACCGTTTGCAGTTCCCTCAAACTTCAAATTCAGTGCCACGAGATTTGAGCATGGCTCCAACAGCGGGTACCAAACGAAGCACAAGGGCTGAGCGTAGTTAAGTTAGATCCCCAGGGTTGTTCTATTTTTGCAGCCCTCTTTCTGTATTTACATATGCAATTATACAATGATACAAGTACGTGCATACATATACATATACATATACCTATACATATACATATACATATACATATACATATGCATATGCATATACATATACATATACATATCCATATCCATATACATATACATATACATATACATATACATACACATATACATATACATACGTATACATATATATATGTGTGTGTACACATTATGTTAAAAACCAACACCCTCTCACAACATCAGTTGTGCCAGTGTACATATGTGCAACATCTTGGATCAACAAGGCCTTGAGCCTTTGTGTGCCAACAGTACAAAAGGCGCGTGCAGCAACAGCTGCAACAGAGTGTCGACATCAGCTGCCTTGATTTTCACATGGTAGCGGAGCAGTGGTCCTGGAAGCATCCAGGTGAGCTCCAACAACTACAGCAGGAGCAACACTGGGTAGCAGCCTAACAAACAAACACTCAAACAACAAACGCAAAGGAAAGCGCTTGATCCCAGCTAAACATAGCGTGGGGGGACTCTCGACAACAAGGATGGCAACGGCACATGACATAGGATCGCCAACAGCAGGAGCGTCAGAAGTGGACGCTTTAGCATCAACACACAGACTGAGGTTGAAGCCTCCAACATACGATGGAAGCTATGCAACATTTGAAGAATGGAAGTATAAGTTCTCAGCATACATGGGCCTGCAGGACAACATCTTTCCACAACTGCTATCAAGAGCAGAAAGAGCAACAACAGTGCTCACAGACGCAGAGCTGCTTGGTGCAGCAACAACAATTGAAGAAGGAGAGAAATGGACACAACTATGTAACAACTTCAAATACATCCTCATCAACATCACCAGCGGCCCAGCAGCAACAGTTTGCAGACAACACCAAGACGCCATGGGCCTAGAGGTTTACAGGCAACTTTGCAACAGGTTTGCAATACCTGTTGGAACAAGAAGCTAGGCTACCTTATAAGACTTCTCAAACCAAAATTCAACAACAACAACAACAACAACTTTGAAGAGTCCTTCTCAACATAGGAATTTGAGCTTGCACGCTATGAACGTGACAACAATGGACAACTTCCAGACCGAGTAAAGATAGCTGTTCTCACGAATGAGACAACAGGACCACCTCGACAACACCTACACCTCAACGCCAGCACAACACCAACATATGCAGAAGTGAGGACAACAATCATGGAGTACTACAGGACCACGACAGCGTTCTCAAGACTCCGGCAACAGTCGTCCTCATCGGTCAGTACAAATCTTGGAGGAGGCCCAGCTCCAATGGACATTGGAGCAACATACAAAGGCAAAGGAAAAGGAAAGAACAAAGGAAAAGGATATGGCAAAGGCAACAAAGGAAAGGATACCAACAAGGAAAAGGCTATGGAGGCTACGGCGCATACAATTAAGGAAAAGCCAAAGGAAGACAACAACCATAGTACCAGCCAAAAGGAGGAGACAAAGGCAACAAAGGAAAGGCAAAAGGAATGCCCAACAAAGGAAAAGGAAAGAATCCAACAGCAGTGTGCTAGAGATGTGGCCAACCAGGCCACATGGCAAAGGATTGCACAACATGTCAGAGACACCACAGGAACAGAACCAAGATGTAACAGCACAATGGTACGACCCAAACAGTGGGTATGACAACTATTGGTACAGCAACGACCCAATCAGGCAACTACAACACTCATCCAGTCCAACGACAACAGGTAGCTTTGCCAGCACCACCAACGGACAATCAAACACCATTAATCCAACTTGTGGCAACACTGGGTCATCAGGCAGCGAGTCCCCACAAGGAAGCGACAACAATGCAAGCAGTTCAACAACAAAGAGGATACACAGAGGCAGAGATCATGATCGACAGTGGTGCAGCAACACACGTTTGTCCAACATGGTTTGCACCAGACACACCACTGTATCCATTACAATATGGACAAGGTCCGAAGCTCAGGACAGCAACAGATGAAGACATCTCAGTGCATGGCTACAAAGTGGTGTACATGCACAACATCAACCAGCAAACACTGGTTGTTCCCTTCTATGTGTGCGACGTGACACAACCCATCATGTCAGTAACAAGACTGGCAGAACAAGGGTTCAACACACAACTCAACGAAACACCAACAATCACACACAGCAAGGAATTCAACTCAGCACTGAGGCAACGTGAAGGCCTCTACTTCTTTCCAGTTACACTGGTAACACTGCCAGTCAACATGAGGCTTGAAGTCAACCAAACAACAGAAGGAACAACAGCAAGAATAGCACCGGTTACACTCACACCAACAGGCATGGAGATCCTTCGAAACAAGAACGATCTGTGGACATTCAACAGCCAGGGTTTCCTGGTAAGAGTCCAGAGAACACAACGCAAGGCACTTTTCATGCCAGACAGTAGATGTCCAGTTCCAACAGAAAGATTGGGGAACTACAGAAGGACAGTCATACAACGACCAAACAACAACACAGAGGTCATTGAAGAAGCATATCAAGACCTCGACAAGAAGCAACAGAAGAGAGTCATCCAAGGACACAACTGGACAGGAGAAACATGGTTCAAAGTGAAAAGGGGAACACCCCTTCCAGGCAACACACCACCACAACCAGCACTTCCACCAGCCAAAGGGCCAACACCAGCAACATCTCGACAACTTACAGCCGATGAACCACAAGCACCAATGTATGGACACAACGTGAAGAAGCCTCTCACTGAGGTGACCAACAGGTCAAGCAATGACCTCAACACAGACACACCAAACAGCAATACAACATCCAAAAGAAGTCAGTCCAACACAGGACTATTGGACCAAAGAAGGTCCATACTGGAAACGTGCGCATGTCCAACCAAGAAGGGACATGTACAGTCCACAACAAACAGATGATGGACCAGACGTGGCAAAGCTGACAACATGGAGACAAACGATGGTGAAGCCAACAAGTGGCAACCGAGGATACAGAATTGACGATGACTGGACAACAAAGAGGAAAGCAACACTCGACATAGAGTGGACAGGCTCAACAAACTTTGAGGAGAACACAGCATACAAAGATCAGTTCATCACAGATGATCCAGAGGAGCGACAAGAAGCAAAGAGAGCAACAGGAGCACCAACACCACAACAACCAGCAGAACAAGAACGAAGAGAACATGAACTGACACACCTTCCATACAGAAGCTGGTGTCCAACATGCGTACAAAGCAAAGGAAGACAAGACAACCACCCAAAACAAACAAGAAAAACACCAGTGATCCAAGTGGATCTGATGTACTACAAAGCATTAGGAGAGAAACAAACAACATCGGTCCTCACAGCAGTGGACGTTGAAACAGGTATGTGCATGGCAGTTCAACTGGAAGACAAGACCCAACACGTGCAATACCTGTCAACTTGCCTACAACAATTCCTGATGGAATGTGGCAGAACACATGCAATTCTCAACAACACTGTCCTACAATCAGACCAGGAAGACTTCATCATCTCCTTGCTCAAGATGGCGGCAACAGCAATGGGCAGCAACATAGCAGTGAGACAATCACCTGCTTACACCTCACAAGCACAAGGCAGCGTGGAACGATTCCACAGAACACTGATGGGCCAAGTTGGGGCCATCAAACTCCAACTGGAGAACAACTACGGCATCAAGCTCAACAGCAAGCATCCCATCATGCCGTGGCTTGTGAAACATTCAGCATACCTTCTCAACAGGTACTCAATCCACCCCGATGGCAACACAAGCTACTACAGACGATGACGATGGGGCAAAGAACACAAAACACCAATCTGAGAGTTTGGTGAAACAGTTCTTTACATGCTACCAACAGCAAAGCACATGCCAAAAATGCAGGCTAGGTTCTATCCAGCCATCTGGTTGGGTAAGGACACCTCAACAAACGAGAACATCCTTGGCATCAGCAACAAAGTGGTCAAAGCAAGGACCATTCCAAGACAAATCAAACCACACAAGTACAACAAACAGTTGATGGACATCATCAACTCTTCACCAGCCATGATACCAGCAACAGCACCAAGCATTGTGGTACTACCACAACCTGCCGCAAGGGAGCAGCAGGCAACAACAAGCACTGAGACTCAGCAGGGTCCACAGCCAACAGTCACAGGACAACCACACAACACACCACCACTAGCACTTACAGACCTTCCAATGGCAACAGCGCCAGCAACTCAGCAAGCAAAGCAACCACTTCCAATGCCAACACCTGGCAAGCGAGAAGTAACAGACGAGATAGCACATGGCAGCTCACCAAAGCAAGCAAGAACAACAGCAAGAGCAACAGCAGCCAGCAGACCTGAAACAGCTCAGGAGCCACCGACAACAAGAATGAGGATATCAGAAGTCACAGTCACAACAAAGAAAGGACAGAAGATAGAAGCAACATCCAACGAAGATGAACAGGAGATCAAGACAGAGAAGATTCTCCTGGAAGCTTGGGTGAACAACACCGAAGGTCTCGACAAAGAACAAACAATAGAAGAAATGAAACAAGAAATCAAAGCAATGAAGGCACAAGGTGTATACACAGAAGTACACAGCAGCCAACTCAGCCCGGAACAACGCAAGAAGATCATCAAGTCAAGATGGGTCCTTCGACAGAAAGGCAACACAGTGCGAGCAAGGATAATAGCAAAAGGATACACAGAGGAGATCAACGACAACGAGGACATCTTTGCGTCAACACCGATCTTCTGTGTCCTCAGAATGCCACTGGTCCTAGCACTTTGCAACGGCTGGATATGTCTGACAGGCGACATTTCAACAGCCTTTCTACATGCCGCAGCAGCAACAGCAGATCTCTTTATGTATCCACCAGCAGAGTTCAACAACGCCTACGACCAGATCGTCTGGCGGCTCAACAAAGCCATAAATGGACTATGCAGCAGTCCAAAAGCTTGGCAAAATCACCTAGCAGGGGTGATGCAACAACTGGGACTACGACGACTTGTGAGTGAGCCCAACGTCTACGCAACACCTGGAGGAGACGCCTACGTCCTACGCTACGTGGACGACCTCCTTTTCATTGGGTCAACAGGAGACGGTCAACAAGCTGTTCAAGAGCATTCAGCAGCACCTTCTACTACGTCCAACAGGAGAGCACACAGTCGGCAACACCATCAGCTTTTTGGGCAGAAACATCTGCAACAAAGGTGACTACTACGAGATCAGCCTAGCAGATCACTACACAACAGAGCTGTTGGAAGAAGCCAACATGCTCAACTGCAATCCAGCACCAGCACCAGGCAACAACACTCTGGAAGCAACTTCAGAGATGGAACAAGAACTCAACAAAGAAGAGCATGCAGCCTACCGAAGGATGGTTGGCAAACTACAATGGATGACATACACAAGGCCAGACATTGGCTTTGCAACAAAGGAACTCGCAAGAGCATTGACACAGCCAACAACAGCAGACCAACAGAAACTGAAACACCTACTCAGGTACATCAAGGGAACTCAACACTACAAGCAGTACGTGAGACCAACAACCAAAACACCAACAGCTGAAGCAACACCAGACATTCAGGTCTTTGTCGACAGTGACTGGGCCGGATGCGCCACGACAAGAAAGTCGACAACAGGCTTTCTGATCAAAATCTTTGGAGCAACAATCCACTACGGCAGCAGAACACAGTCAACAATTGTGCTGAGCAGCGCGGAAGCAGAACTATACGCGATCAACACAGGAGCAACAGAAGCCCTACACATCAGCAACCTCCTGAAAGAAGCTCTCAACATGAAGAAGATCAACATCCGCATCCGCACCGACTCGGCAAGCGGAAAGAGCATGGCAACAAGAATTGGATCATCAAAGAAGGCCAGGCCAAACACATCGAGCTCAAACACCTGTTTATACAACAGCTGGTCGCACATGACCTTGTGAGGATTGTCAAGATCAACACCGTCAACAACCCGGCCGACATCTTCACCAAGTACGTTGCAACAGAGACGCTTCTGCGTCACATCAGTGATGTTGGGATCAACACCCATCATCACTAAGCTTCCAAACAACAACAAGCAACAGTTTCACTGCAGCTAGCGCGTTAATGTGCAAACGCTTGCACATCGTGCGAACATCGTGCGTGGCATGCACACACAGGCATACATCTTGTTGAGCCATGGTGTCAACAAAGGTTGACAACATGAACTACCTCATAGTGATCCCCTATACTTCAACATGGAGTATATCAACAAGATATTCATACAGTATTTCAACGTGATTCTCGATATGTACTACTTCAACATGAATGTCGACTACATGATGGAGTATAAGCACGTGTCCCAAACAACATGTCTGTGATACACAACATGTCTTTTTTGTGCAAGATTTGGGGAAACCCAACAATTTGAAGAATTCAACATTTTGATGTACAGTTTTTGTGGATGTCAACACTTTGTTGACAACAGTGGGATCAACACCTTTGGTTCACCGCAGCCGTGACATCTTCAACAGATCGGTCAATTTTTTTGCTCCAATACCACTGGCCACCAGTTTTTGACCTGGACATCGAAGATGGCAACACTGGTCAACATCCACGAGCACCGTGAGCCAACGATTCCAACAATGCCGAAGTTAACCACAGGAAGCCTTGGATTGTTCACACGGGCAATCAACATGTCTCAGACAGTGAACTCAACAGGTTTGGGCCCAGATGAGTTCAACGCATGTCTTTTGACAACAACATGGACACCTGGTGGCTGGCGCTCCCAGCAGAGCTCTACTCAGCCATCACTCCGGAGACAGGGTTGCCAACAACCCTTAGAGGCAACATGATGTGCCCTCGATGGGACAAACTCATCATGAGTCCAACACCGACCACAGCAATTTGCAACATGTTCTACCACGCCACAGAGTTGCACATTGAGAGCAACAACTGGCAACAAGCCAAATTGCTTGCATTGTGCACCAACAGCGTCCAACAGAAGAGACGCATCGGAAATGGCACAATCAACCTCTTCAACAGAGGGTACAACATGGGAACACAAATGGAAGTTGAGGCTGGCCATTTTTTCAACTTGACAACGGATGAGTTTTCAACCGTCCAACTGTGGAACATTACGGCCAACACCACTGGAGGCAGCATTCTCCAGAAGATTGCCAATGCAACAAGTTGGCTACAAGGTTTTGTTTGGCACTACAACACACCTGTGCCCATTCAACAGGTGACTGGACCTCAACATGGATGGTACCAGGCCCTCATCAACGGCTTGGAGTACACCGGAGTGCAAGCACTCAACAGGATGCCAACAGAGGTTCAACAGCATTTGAACCAGGTCTTGGAGAACCAACATCCTCTTCCACAAGGCTTTCAACTTCCATGCTGGGGAGCCAAGACATCAGAGCGTCTTCGTGGCAACCCACCGATCCTGGAATTTGTCAATGCCAACACCAACATGGCTCAGTACATCATTGATTTCAGCGAGTACCATGGAGCAACAAGAGAAGATGCCAACATGGATGAAGAGACGAAGGATTGATCCAACATGAGATCAACAAGTGGGAGATACTGCAACTTCCCTGGCTCAACAGCCTAAAACAACAGAGATGATGATGAGCACAACAGGCAGTCCAACACCTAAGAGTACCGACAAATAGCTTGTACACTAACACGTTTAGACAACAGACTTTTGGCAACACCTTAGCAATGTAAAGTGTGCAGGTTGGCTGACCCAACATAGAAGCAACATAATGTCGTTACGGTTCAACATGTTAGTAGTGAAAGTTCAACAGAGTGATGTTTGAAAACAACATCAATCTGAGGGGCGGTGTTAAGAACCAACACCCTCTCACAACATCAGTTGTGCCAGTGTACATATGTGCAACATCTTGGATCAACAAGGCCTTGAGCCTTTGTGTGCCAACAGTACAAAAGGCGCATACAGCAACAGCTGCAACAGAGTGTCAACATCAGCTGCATTGATTTTCACACATTACATGCATATATATGTATATATACATGTATGTGTATATATATATGTGTGTATAATATATATATATATATATATATAGCAGTGGTGGCTGCCCCGGTCGGCCTGGAGTTGCTCCACAGCGCTCCAACCACCAAACTCGATCCAGGGCAGCCGCATGATGTGCGGCCATGGGTGCCACAAAGTCAGGACGGTCCTGAAGAATCGGGAAAACCCCACCCAAATGGTACCCGAAAATAAATAGCTGGTGAATGGATGTTGATTCCCCCCAAAATATATGGTAATAATTTAGGTTTTGACCCATCCCCAGTTTGGCAAATGTCCATAGAACCATGGGAAATCTGGCATGATTTTCCAATACTCTCCATGTATTTCCAGATTGTATACATGGAAATTAAATGAATGGAAATTACACCATTTCTGGTCCCTGGCAGGTGATGAGGCATCAACATTCATAGACCTCATTGTCATTCCGTCATTCCTTTTCAATGGGTATATTCCTTTTCAATGGGTATCCCCAAGTTCAAGGCCATGAAATGGTTAAAAAATGTAAAAAAAAAACAGGTGATTGGTCATGATCAATCAGTGGATTTCCAGGGCTTGTCCCATTGAAAAGACCACCAAGTCCCGAGCCTTGGAATTCTTGGATCCTTCGAGAGCACTTCGCAGCTTCGGCGATGCGTCACCCCGGGAGAAGTGGTGAAGACCATCTGGACGCAGCCACCTGGGTGGGAACCAGCAACAAATTAGGATATCATCATATATGATGTACAGATGAACAGTTAGGACCCCCCAATCATCCACCAGTTCATGGTCAAGTTGAAGTCAGATCATACCAACCTCATTCTTGGACACTCCAAATCAACATGATTTCAGGCTTCAAGTGACCTGAAAATTCAAAAAAAAGTCAAACACATCTTCTTTGCCTCGGCACTCCGGCCCCAAACGGTGACGCACACCAATACTTTCTGATGTCAGAAACTTCCAAATTCCAAGCAAGAAAAACCCAGCAGAAAGGGCTCCCGCGATCGTGTACCTCAGGCGAACGCCAAGTCAGCAGGAAGTGTTTCGTTCATTGTGGAAACCATATGAAACCATCATCTCAGGATGTGACACCAAGTGACACCATGTCTTGTGGCAACCCTTCCACAGGAACTCCGCGTGGGCTTTGCCGCGGAGGGGAAGACCAAGAGGAGCTCATGCTTCGTTGGAATTTAAAACCTGGTGGCTCCTGAAGTGCACAGAAGACACCAGCAGGTCCACAACACTTGATGTTCCCGAAAAAAAACGACTCTTGAGTTGGAGCCAAAGATTGTTTAGAGCTAAGCCATTGGTTCTCAAAGTAAACTATTGTGAGGCTGTGAGGGATGTAGGGAGTCGCTCTTTTTGGGACACACCATGGCTAAGAGCAAAAGGCCTGCCTGTGAAGTTCAAAGCTCAACGCTGCCATGTTCTAGTGTATGTCACAAGTGATATGAGAATGGGTCGTTTGGCCACCATTCGGTGGAAGCAAAGTGCTCACGAAATCACAGCAACAATCATAATTATAACATATGCACAGTAACAATCAATAATAATAACAGTAATAATAATAATAGTAATAATAATAACAGTAGTAGTAGTAGTAGCAGTAGCAGGAGTAGCAGGAGTAGCAGGAGTAGCAGGAGTAGCAGGAGTACTAGTAGTAGTAGTAGTAGTAGTAGTAGTAGTGGTAGTGAGTAGAGTGAGTAGTAGTGAGTAGTAGTGAGAGGAGTAGGAGTAGGAGTAGGAGTAGGAGTAGGAGTAGGAGTAGGAGTAGGAGTAGGAGTAGGAGTAGTAGTAGTAGTAGTAGTGAGTAGTAGTGAGTAGTAGTGAGTAGTAGTGAGTAGTAGTAGTGAGTAGTAGTGAGTAGTAGTGAGTAGTAGTGAGTAGTAGTGAGTAGTAGGAGTAGGAGTAGGAGTAGGAGTAGTAGTAGTAGTAGTAGTTGTTGTTGTTGTTGTTGTCCTGGCAACAGTTTTTTTCCACGCTGCGACGGTGCCCATAGCTGCTGCACCTCTTAGGTGTCTCAAAAGTAGCGCAGCACTGAGCTCTATGCCGTTTTGACCCTAACATATTGTCTAAAAGAAATGAGGAGTCTAAGGCTGGCACAAAGATCGAAACACGAGAGAATAAATTTACAATAAGCAAAATTGTACAAACAAGTCATATTAGTAATTAGTAGTTAGCAGTTGGTAACCAAGTTCATACAATACTAATGATATGTATATGTAATATGTATGTATATATGCTCACCCACCCACCCCTACCAGAACCTACCTTTTTCTTCTATTTGATTGTTTTTCATTGCAGTGAGCATGTGTATGTATATATATATATACAGTTATATATAATTATCATCATATGTATGTCACATTGGTACAAACATGGAAGAAAAACTCCCAAACCGAAGCTCAAAACTCGCCTGCGACCGCGCAGCCCACGCTGCAGCAGACCATCTTTGGTTCTCATTGAGTCCAGGCTCACCGTAGACTCCGTAGGTGTTGCCGTAGGTGTTGGGCCCGCTGTCTGAGTCGAAGCGACAGAGACCACAGGGAGTTTACCAGGTAACAAAGGCCCACAACTTGATTCGGATTCAAGAACTTATATATATATACATATAGATATATGTGAAGAAACAACAAAAAAGTACAGCAGATTCCAGCTCCAAAATTGGAAGGCCGCAGTGTGAATGGTTTTCTCCTATTCAAGCATCCACAGCATCGATAACGTTGCCATAGTTTTTCCCTCCCGTCAGTTTCAATGAAGCACATCATTCTGGCTAAATGTTAATTTATACTAATAATTCACCAAGCTGAAATGAGGTCATTTTGGGATATTTCCCTATACTAATTAACCATCATTTACAGTGACGTTGCAATTAGATGCAATTAGGTGGTTATGATTTACCCAGTCAACATGGACTAATTTCTGCTGGTGTCCCACGCACCTGTGAAAGCAGCATCGGCAGTGAAGTTGGACTTCAGGGTTTTCCTAACCAGATTTGAAATGAGAATTGCTGATGAAGATTGCTGATAAAGATTCACACATGTTCATAGATTGCTTGGACATGACTCGCAAACACCCAGTAGTTTTCAACTTGGGAATTCGGTGCCCTCCAGGATATTTCGGGACCCTCAGCCCTGAAACACTTTGCGCAGCCAACACACTGCTGTTCCAGAAGCTGCAACGCTTCTTCAAAGTCTGCCCGCAGTTGAGAAAATTCCTGCCAAAGAAACAGGGACAAGTGACAAGTTGGATCCAGTGTCGAATTACAAAAGCTACCAACTTGGACAGTGGGAATTTTCGTTTCTCATTTCACAGGGATTCAAACCATCCTTGGCTCCGAAAGGCTCCCCGATAGGGCACATGAATTCAACAAGTTTCATTTTTGGCCACGAACTCGACTCCGATTGCCAACCTGTGCAGCTTGTCCGTGGGGGTTGCGATCTGGATGCAATTTCTTTGCCTGCCTGGCACAGATCATCCAGGTCGGCAACTTGATTTCACTTCTTTTTAATGTCCAAATCATCCCAAATCCTCTCCGAAAACATTTGACAGAAGATTCCCATCATCTTTTGCGGGAGATTCAAGATCCTGAAGGTTTAAAGTGCCATTGTCCTCTGCCTGAAATACGCCTGGCGAAGTTGGGCACCGCTGGCCCCCGGAGGCAACTGGAATTGCCGCAGCAGCTGAGCCAAGCGGGACATCCTGGCAGAACAAAGTCAAAATCCTTGGGATTTTGGTGCCCATGTATACGTGTAGGTAGACGTATACGTATAGATAAATGTAAATGCGTATCTATGTCTATATGTACATTTGCATGTATATGACTGTAACTGACTGTATATGTAAAGGAAGTATACATATACAATAGTGTATGTGAGACCCCCATGTTCATCAAATAAAGGATCGTTTACTGTGGTTCTTCTATATATTTCTTTAGATCTTATATGAACAGATCGAGGGTCCAGCTATGTGTAATGCGGAAACATGCTGAAACTATGTAAAAACTCGCATTTTTCGACAATCCATTTGGACTTTTTGGACTTTGGACCTCCAAATCTAAGACAGTGGGACGGTGATCCAAGGGACACCCAGCCCCTTGGGGACTGACACTGATCTGTAATGATTGGTATGGGGTCCAGTTACACGGCATGTCACCGGCATGTCGATACCATTGATCTGGCATTTCTGGCTGCATTCCAAAACGAGACCTTCGGCCATTACACATTGCCTTCGGACAACTCGCGCGAACAAGGGCTGTAGGACATGGCAAACAACAAGGGCAATACCCACCGTCTGAATCGGAGGCGCAAACTGTGTACAGCAGCAATCAAAAGGGTAGTACTGCAAGACTATCCGTCACATCTTGTCCATGGGCCTTCCAAACAGACATGTTGTTTCTGCACAGTTTGCTGTTATTTTATCTTAGATGTTCCATTATTTTGGATATGTTGTTTTCACTGTCACTAAAGGTTGTTGTCACTCTTCATGAGCAGCTTAGATGTTTGTTATGTTTAGACAGAGTCGCGGGTTCAACAAAAGTTGAGCATTCATGTGGTCAACCCCCAGGAAAATGTCAGCACAGAAGTTGAAATCACTCCTGAAGTGATGCTGAAAGGCACCCAACAATCTAAGATCCAGACTTGGCGATACCAAACATTGAAGCATTTGTCATACCTTACTGTGAGTTCATGGCAAAACCGTCTTCACCACCGTCCCAGGAGCCCCAAACCTGTCTTTGAAGGGCTGGCAGAAGGTCAAAACTTCCTTGGCGCCTCCCACACCAAACCCACATCTCACATAATTCCGACAAATGATGCAAAGAATGCATGAGAAATAATGAGAAAAAAATTGAAGAAATTGTCCAACAATCGAAACCATTGCGTCGTTCAATTTTTTTGGTAAAACCAATACCTAGTGGTTCTGACAAGTAGAATATCAGTTGACTGCGAATCTGTTTGTTCTCAGTACCCGGGTCCAATGCGAAGACTTGAAATGAAATTCAAACATAGATTCGATTTTCCGTTGGAATTCGAATTTAGATTCGAAATCCGAATTCACACACCAAGTGCATACCCTTAGCCAATCTTACCCGTAAGGTGACGTCGGCACACTACCACAAGGAACTACCGTTGAACAACTCGCTGGCCTGCGGCTCCATTGTTTGGTTCCATACGGTTTGGGAATGTTTGGGATCCATGTGTTGTTAATTTCGATTTGTTTTTGCCCGTTGAATCAACAAACAGTGCCTTGCACATGCTGGCAAAATTTGCCCGCATCTACTAATTTTTGATGACTGAAACATTTGGCCAGTCATGCCCGGGTGGTCAATTTTGACAATTTCTTGAGCCAAATCCGCAACCACAACTCCAATAGCTGAAAGAACAAACAAGTTGTGAGAATTTGATCAAAATAAAATCCGACATGTTTTGGTGCAAAGTGCGAAACCTTTGTGAGCTTTTCAACGTGCTGAGTCTGTTTGAAAAAAAATAATCTGCAAATTGTTGCTGCAGCATTGCTGGTCGAGCTAAAACCTCCTGAAACCCTCCATTTAGCAAAAACCTAGCGACCAGCGTGTGCAAAAGCAACGCGTGTAAAGCTAACGTTTTGTGGCCACGTTTGGCCCTCGCAACCGAGTTGGTTTTTCCTCGGAACACCTGGACGCAACCAATATAACCAATGTATGTGCTTTAGTTAATGAGAAAACTGAAACCGTTGTACCAACTTGAGGCCCAGCGGTAGGGGACGAAAGCTAACTTGGCAGGGAGCTTAGCATGAAAACACAAAGGGCACAGCGCAGCTGCGCAGTTTTTTCATCGACGTGGACGAGCGGGCGTGCTGGTAAGGTGAACATCCATACCTACATACTGGGGCGATGTATGTTGGAAGGGACGGGGATGAGAACATATGGTTACCAGCAGTACCGCACGAAGCGGTGGCGGAACCTTCAAAAATTGGCAACTATAGGAGAGGTGAATTGCTGTGATGCATGGATGGCAGAGCGAATCCACTCATGGACCGAAAGGTGGTTGGAGTTGTTTTTGGACTGGTTGCAGTGGTCACCTCACCCGGAACTGCTGAATGTGGTGTGGCGTGGTGTGGTGTGGAGCAATTGCAGTTGTAATTGAAGTGTAGTGGTAGTTGTAGTAGTTGTGCTAGTTCTAGTAGCTGTAGTAGTTGTAGTAATTGTAGTAGTTATAGTAACTGTAGTTGCAGTTGTAATTGTAGTTGCTGTAGTGTAGTTGAAGTTGAAGCTGAGCCTGAAGTTGTAGTTGCAGTTGCAAATTGCAGTTGTAGGCCTATTCTAGTTGCCGTTGCCGCTTAGTTGAAGTCGAACTTGTGGTTGTAGTTCTGGTTCTAGCTGCACTTGTAGCTGACGTTGTAGTTGTAGTGTAGTGTAGTGGCAGTTGTACTTGCACTTGTAGCTGTAGAGCAGTTGACGTTGTAGATGTAGTTGCATTTGAAGCTGTAGTTGTAGCTGTAGTGTAGTTCAACTCGAACTTCAAGTTTTAGCTGCACTTGTAACTGTAGTGCAGTTGAATTTGTACTTGTAGCTGCAGCCGTAGCTCTAGCTGTAGTTGTAGTTTTTGCTGTAGCTCAAGTTGGAGTTGGAGGTGAATTTATGTTGCACTTGTACTTGTAGCTGCTATGTAGTTGAAATTGTAGTTGGAGGTGTAGCTGCACTTGGACTTGTAGTTGTAGCTGCAGTCGTAGTTCTAGAGTAATGTAATGGTAGTGGTAGTTGTAATCTGGTTGAAGTTGAGGTTGTAGTTGTAGTTATACTTCTTGTACTGATAGTGTAGTTTGCACTTGTAGTAGTAGTTGTGGTTGCAGTTGCAGTTGTAGTGATAGCGGTAGTTGTAGCTGTAGGTGCCGTGGCAATGGCATGGGTAGTTGTAGCTGTAGTGTACTGTAGTGTAGTGTAGTGTAATGTAGTGTAGTGTAGTGGTAGCCGTAGTTGTAGTATAGCGTAGTGTAGTTGCAGCTCTAGTTGTAGTTGTGGTTGTGGTTGTGGTGGTCTATCTATCTCAATTTGTTTTTATTCTTTATGTATCGATCTCTCTATCGATCTGGCTGTCTATCTATCCATCTCACTGTCTATCTATCTACTTATCTAGCCATGGTTCACCTCTACCCCACACCTTTTACCTTAGGCCGTCGCTCGTGCTGTTGCGCTTTGAAAAACACTACGCATGAAAAAAATCCAAGTGAGGATTACAATGAAATGATCATCACAAAGTAAAAAGGGGGTTCGAAGGTATAACCAAGTTATATTCAACTGAATTTCTCCACAAATAAAACTGCATCAATATTGTTCTGGTGCTTCACTTGCTTGGAACCAAAGTTACAACTGATGTTTCCCTTGAAGCCTGAATGACGATCATGCAGTTGAAACAAACATCAAGCCCACAGCTCTTGCGGCATCGCTATGCCCTCAATGATGCCAACAGGGTCATAAAATATTGTTTGTTTATCTTCTAACCATCAGTTGGAGGCCAATAATTTTGAGCTACAGAGGAGGCCCGCACATGCGAAGCCTGATTTCAATTGACTTTCCGGCCCCAAGAATGGAACCTGAAAGCGCACATGTGGTATCAGCTGTCTCCGCTCACTGGCTCCAATGTGGCGATTGCGATGCAGCACGACCCAGGCAACATACAACATGTATTCTCAAAGGTGTCTTGACCTCCCATGGAGCACACCACACGCTGCAATTCGAGAAACCACAACAATGGCGCTCGCCTGAGCCCATTCATGGCTTTCCCGAGCCACACAATCACTCTGCATCCATTGATAGACATGTTCGCTGGAAGCAACACTAAGTCACAAGCTTCAGCTTCCACTGGCGCATTCATGAACGCCACAGAAACATCAGCAGTCAGCAAACTGAGATTTTTCACTACGGAAACTGCAAGCACACAACGAAGCCCGTCCAAAGACGACGTTGGCGCGTAGATTCCAGAGTTCAAGGCTGAAGCCCCACCCGTAGCGAAGTCTCGCACTACAAAGCGACACCGAGCGATCTCTGAGGTCTTTTGGGTCAACACCCAACGTGAGGTCAAGACCGTGACTTGCTTTTCCTTAGCTAGTGCCCGGCCGTCACGTTCGACAAGGCAGCGCCCGACCTTAAGTCGTTCAAGCTGCTGTACCTCAGTCTTCATTCCCTGTTTCATCTGTTCAAAATCCAAAGCAGCTCCAGTGAGCTCGTCAAAAGAACTTTCAGGGATGTCGACTCGAACTTTTTGACCTCCAAATTCCTCTACAAAGAAATCACCATTTCCCTCACCAACAGGGAAAACACAACCAGACTCTCTCAAACAAACCATGTTCCACACATCAGCCTGTGTTTGAAGAATAAGGTTGTTCAACCACGCATCCCCTTCTTCCTCCTCAGATCCTTCCCCTTCTGAACCCTCATCGACCCTGTCGATCGTCATGGGCTCAGGACCTTCACCTACCTCACCTGCATCCACATCCATTCCCTCAGCTCCATCTGCAATGGGCTGTGGAGACACCTCTTCCCTTGGGAAAACCGGTGGATCCAAGTCTGGTGGAAAATCAGGTGGTGGTAAGGCCTGTTCTGCCTGTGGTGCCTCAAGACGTGGTTCTGGGAAGTCCTGTGGCCTGACGCCTGCCAAAAGAGGAAAAAGAGATTTAACATCATACTGGAGAGGCTCCTTCAGTTTGAAAGAGTGACCCTTGATCACCTCACGATACCCTGCAGCATCAACAGAAAACGGGTACCCCAAACAGCCTCCACCAGTCACATACCTCATGCCGGGAAAATGGCACAACACCAAACGCTGACCAGGCCATTTTGAAGGATGAATTGGTTTCAAAAATCCAACTGCCCCAAAAGGATAAGACCTAGGTGCCTGACCTCCCCGTTTTTCTCTCAAACGCTCTAAGAGGGTGCTCCCAGCCTTTCCCTCACAGTATGCGTTGTACGTCCTATAGACATGTCCCACCAAACATCCCAACAGGGGGGATTCCAACGCAATCCTGGCATTGCAATGGCGTTCAAGTGCCGACCAGTTGGCACAGTGATAGCCTCGTGCTGAACCAGCTGCAAGGCCTCTTTCAACCAAAGATTTCAGTGCTGCCTCATTGTCAGTAGCTACTTCTACAGACAACCCTCCAACACCAATCTCATTCAGAACAGCTGCAGTTGACTGCACGTCACGTTCTTTGTCACCACCACAAACCACCATGCCAACCATCCCAGTGTGAACCATCAACAGGACCAGAACTTTCCAATGTTTCCCTGCTACAACAAGGAAATCAGCAGCAAGACTGTGGGGTGTTTCATGCTTATGAC